TTACTGTACTATTACATGTTAATAAAATATTTTTAAAATTATATTTTATAAAACAAAAAAGTTGTTTGAGATGATGCTTAATTTGATTTAATACGAATTCTTGTCATTTATTTTGTTTATTGTTCTCATTGTTTAAAAGTGTGTGTTATGGTTATGGTTTTGGTGTGAAATAAAGCACAATAATTACATTTAAGACTGTTTCCCTTTTTTTAAGAAAAGTATCGAAAAAGAATCGGAATCGCAATTCTTGACTTGGTATCGGTATCGAAACGAAAATGTTGGTATCGTGACAACACTACAGCAGGCATGGTTCCGGCCCCAGCAGCCATGGTTCCGGCTCCGGTTTCGGCTCCAGTACTGGCTCTCCGGCCGACGCCAGCCCCCCGTGTCCTGTCGGCGTACCGGCCGACTCCAGCTCCTCGTCTCCTGTTGGCTCTCCGGCCGACGCCAGCTCCCCATGTCCTGTCGGCGTACCGGCCGACTCCAGCACCTCGTCTCCTGTTGGCTCTCCGGCCGACGCCAGCTCCCCGAGTCCTGTCGGCGTACCGGCCGACGCCAGCTCCCCGTGTCCTGTCGGCGTACCGACCGTCTCAAGTCCTCTTTCAAGACACTTCTCAAGTCCCTAAACCCTATTGTGGAGAAGTTGCCATTCAACCTTCAGGATAAATGGATGTCTCATGGGAGTATGTACAAAGAGCAGAACCATGTGCATTTCCCCCCATTCACCTACTTTGCTGACTTATTCTGCAGAGAGGCCTACATCCGTAACGACCCAAGTTGCTTTCTCTCTTCTTCAACTGTTACAATAGTGAAGCAGGATAACACAGTTAAGAAGATGGACAGCTCTAAGAACTTCATCTCCTCACACATGACAGAGGTCTCTTGTCTATGTCTGACTCTGACAATACAGAGACTTCCAGTGCCAAGCCTGATGTCGAAAAGCAATGTCCTATCCACAAAAAGCCTCACCCTCTTAAATATTGCAGAGGCTTTAGGACCAAGACACTAGAAGAGCGCAAGGCATTTCTTAGGGAGGGTGGCATATGTTTTAGATGTTGTTCTTCTAGCAAACATCTTGCAAAAGACTGTAATATTGCAGTTCAATGTAAAGAGTGCAACAGCAACAAGCATATAGCAGCTCTTCATCCTGGGCCAGCTCCATGGCATAACCAGAACCCTGAGTCAGAGAACGGCGGGGAGGATGACACTGAGTCATCTCCGACAGTGAACTCTAAGTGTACGGAGGTCTGTGGAGAAAACAACGGGCCAAGCTCCTGCTCAAAGACCTGTCTCGTCACAGTGTATCCTAAGGGACGACCTGACAGGTCAGTGAGACTCTACGCTATCCTTGATGACCAGAGCAATCCATCACTCGCCAGATCAGAGTTTTTTTACCTCTTTGGCGTTGAAGGCACAGATACTCCCTACACACTACAGACATGCGCTGGTCTCACTGAGATTTCTGGAAGGAGAGCCATAAGCTTCATTGCACAACCTTTAGATGGAAGTCTCAGCATTAATCTCCCGACTCTCATAGAATGCAACTACATCCCGAAAGACAGGTCAGAGATACCTACGCCAGAGGTGGATGAATGTCACATTCACCTCCACTCCATTGCTCAGCACATTCCACAACTTGATCCAGAGGCTCAGATCCTTCTTCTCCTTGGACGTCCTACAAGTCCACAAGGTGAGAGACCAGCACAATGGACCCAATGAGGCACCATATGCCCAACGCTTGGATCTTGGCTGGGTCATCATTGGCGAAGCCTGTCTAGGCTCAGCTCACAAACCCAAAGATGCAAGTGTGTTCCGCACTCACATCCTCGAGAACGGGCATCACTCTCACTTCATGCCCTGTCTGAACCATCTTACTCCGAAAGAGAAACTCGCTGAGAATAAACATAGGGTCCGCAGTTCTTTTGACGTGGAAAGTTCACAGCTCGCTAGTGGTTCAGCTTAGCGCACCGAAGACGACTCACTGGGTAGTAAGATCTTCCAACGTACAGAGGACAACGTGGAAACATCTTATGACCTCATAGAGCCAGACTCTGACGCAGAAGTTCAAACTCAATTCATAGAATGCAGCAACAGAAACCAAGGCTCTCAGCAATTTGAGAGGTCGTCAACTTGGCTTCATCCCTCAACTCTTCAGAGTCGCTCAAAGTGGCAAAAGAGCCATCACAACATTAAGCAAGGATACCTGGTGCTTCTTCGCAATACTCAGGTGAAAATAAACCAGTGGCCTCCGAATGTTTTTTCTGTAGCACCGGACAATTCTACCTCAATAATATAATACATTAACCGTGCTTTACGTGAACCTCATCATGACACTCGAGAGGACGGCAGGACTGTGATTTCCTGTGTTCAGTGAATGCAACAGAGGCAAGACACCAGACCAATCAGAGTTGCATGGAAATAAAAGTGTGCTTGTGTCATTCAAACTCGGCTCTCTGTGTGTGTGTGTGTGTGTGTGTGTGTGTGTGTGTGTGTGTGTGTGTGTGTGTGTGTGTGTGTGTGTGTGTGTGTGTGTGTGTGTGTGTGTGTGTGTGTGCGTGTGCGTGCGGAAATAGCGCATTTAGTGTGTGTGAGAGAGAGAGAGGGACCGGTGCCAGCAGCAGGGACCGTGTTGTTAGCATCTGGTTAGCTAGCTGCACTAACGGACATACGGAGCTGTTGTTGGTTCCACAAAAAGCTGGAGGAGAGCTCTCCTCTCAGACTGAGAGGCTCAGGTGAGCTAAAGGACTCTGAGTGTTTAGATGGTTAACTTTAGTCTAAGTTATCTCAGTGGGTCTCAAACGGTTTGGTCACAAATTATTCAAAAGATTATTTCCGCGGCACACTTTCATATGAACACTATCGTTATAAAAAAAATAAGAGAATAAAGGAAAAACAGTTATGAAATACTATATGGCAGTAAAACAAGAATACAGTTTGAAAGGGGAGTGATTTGTAAAATATCCATAAAGAAAAAGAACATCTGCTTACAGTTGTGTTTCATCTGGGTGTTGAGAGATGTATCCATAGATCTCTTAATGTTGCTCTCAAATGCACCAGATTGATGCTTTTAACTTCAATATTTAAAACAAATCTTCCCGGGGAGCATCCCCCGGACCCCCCTAGAGGAGGTGAGGTCCGCTCCCCACTCGTAAAAAATAGCACTTTACACCTGCCTTTATGCCGTGAGCTGATTATCGAGCCTTCATTGTAACAGTCGCGGGTGTAGTGTGTTTGCGTGTGGGGAGTGCTTTTGTGCGTGCTCTATAGTCAGGGCTGCACATAACTGGTGCGCAACCACCCAGGGGCGCTGCCAGGGATTTTGGGTCCCATGAAAATATATCACATTGGGCCCCACCACCAGGCACAGGCCACTTTGTTTATAAATTACCTCGAAGGCCGTACCAAATGGTCTAGCGATCCGTATACGGCCCGGGAGCCGGCCGCCAAAGCATAATTCCCGAGCCATTTAGGTTTAATTTTTGTAATCCATCCGCGAGCGTGACGGCATCTGAGATCCCTCGCTCTACCCCTCGCTATCGCGTGGAAGGTCTGCATTATGCGCTCCGCACAGTAACCCTGCTGCGAGGCACGGCCGAACAGTTCATGGGCGTGCTCACTAGCGCACCTCCCCCCCCTTTATAAAGTCAAGTACCCCTCAAAAGGTCCGGTTTATTTCATTTTAAGGATGCGCACCAAGCAACATCTCCAGGTGCTCCTTTGCGAACTAGGGAAAAAAAGTTATGTGCACAACTGTCTATAGTGCCCGTAATAGTGTTCACTGGAGTCCAGCACCTCAGCACCCCCACTCAAAATACCTTCCCGCGCCTCTGCTCAGTGCCCTTCTCACTTCGGTTAAATGGAATCCTTGCTTCCTTCACTTGCGTTGTTTCCCTGTGACTAGTCCCTCCCACCAGGGAAGCATGGAGGGACGCAAGGAAACCACGAGAAGCAGGGAAATGAGTTTTAAGAGCAATGGGACGTCCTTTCCTCTGGAGCGTCACGTGAAGCGACGTCCGTTTGTGATGACGCCGCACAGCTGATCGTCTGACAGCAGCCAGCTCTGTCCCCGTTATTTCCACACACACCCCCGCCTCTGTTAGTACACATTTACTGACACAAACATTTGTATCATCTGTTATAGACCCAAATAAATAAAATAAAATAAGAACTAATTCTCAAAAAAGATAAACGCCATTCTTAAAATGTATAAACGAACAATAGTTTGATTAATATTGATTAGAGTGCACAATAGAAATAAAATAATTGAGAGAAGAAAAAGAGATATATTATCTATCAAAACCCAGTTAGATTAACATTCATTGGATTGCACACTTTGTTTGTTTGCTTGGATATGTAGCACATTAACATTTTAATAGCACTTAATGACTGACTGAATGGAAATGACAATAAATGAAAATGTAAAACGAAAAAAGCGATCATGAAAATGTTTCCAAAAAATGAATAAAATGATTTTTGACCACTTTGTTGTTCAGATATATCACATATTTGTAACAAAATTATACATTAATTGAAACAAAACACGGTATAAACTGAGGAGTGACTACCGTGAGGTTCATGTGTTTTCTTCACTCCGCTGGGAAACTGCTCTCATGTCAAGAAGCATCAGATCAGTGCATGCGCTGCATCGTCCAATCAGTGAGCGATACACAGTAAGGGGGCGGCGCGAGTGTCTGAGGATTTCATCGGAGGATGGTGGTTCCTCCTTTATCGCTCCTCCATTATCGCTCCTCGGTCCTCCGGCAAAAATAAGGCCATTGGGACGCTACTCAAGATGGCGCAGACAAATCAACTTCCGGTGAGACCGAGACCGAGGAGCGAGGAAATGACTCAAATAGTAATAGTACTTGTAGTAGTGATTACTTACTTGCTTACTTAAGAATAAATGCAACATAATGGATTAAAAAAGGAAAGATATAATAAGTGTTTTAAAAGGCATGATGGAATTGCTCATTATGTATTACCAGTAGCTGCGCCCCTCCCGTGCAGCAGGGAGCAGTGCAGCACTCACACACAGTGTCGCGACCAGGTCGCAGTGACGCGTTCAGAGGTGAAAGTTGAATTCAATGAAAACATGGTTGGACACGGGGATATCCGCGTGGTTCATCGAGGTGGCTCTAAAATTAACTCCAGGCAGCCTGTCATAACCCAGGACTCAAGGTGAGGGTGTGTTTTCATCCCGGTAATGTTTAATATTCGGTGGAAGGTTTTCCCGCGAATCTACCAGTGGTAGTTAGCCAGCGTGCTGAAGCCGGTGCTGGCCGTTAGCATTAGCAACACAAGCTGCTAGCTAACTGTTGAAGCTGCTGCTGATACAAAGTATCACCAGCTAATCTCTCTGACACTTTAGCAATGTTTTTAAACTGTTACGCAAAATGTCGTTAAAATGATTATATTATTGTGTGTGTGTGTGTGTGTGTGTGTGTGTGTGTGTGTGTGTGTGTGTGTGTGTGTGTGTGTGTGTGTGTGTGTGTGTGTGTGTGTGTGTGTGTGTGTGTGTGTGTGTGTGTGTGTGTGTGTGTGTGTGTGTGTGTGTGTGTGTGTGTGTGTGTGTGTGTGTGTGTGTGTGTGTGTGTGTGTGTGTGTGTGTGTGTGTGTGTGTGTGTGTGTGTGTGTGTGTGTGTGTAGGTTCCTGCTGTGCGCCTCAGGAGAGTGTGTGAAGGTGTTCAGCACCTCCACTGAAGAGTGTGTCCACGACCTGCGGGGACACACCGACGCAGTGACCGGTGTACTGCTCAAACCCTCCAACCACCTACAGGTACATCATCCGGCATGCACCTCCCTGTGAACGAAGATCCATCTTAGTCAGACTGTTTACTTGCCTTAAAAAAAGACGAATTCTTACGTGGTTGAAACCGACTTCAGAACAACCATAAAAGTAAAACATTTTCACTGTAAGGTTGATTTTTAGTTTACTTAATTGATAATGGAAAAGGGGGTTTCCTTAAAATGTTAAATATAAATTCAAGTCACCATATAGTTTCTCTCCCGAGTGATGATGTCCAAACTAGCACAATATTTGTGAATAAACGTTTTAAAATCATTAACAAATCATTTTAAAATGCATTAAGGCGAGACACCCCAGGTGAATAGGGTAATTTTTTTAACTTAAAGGTATCAGCTAGAAATTTCTCCAGTTAATTACTTACAATAAGGCAATTGTCTTTTGTATTACAAGTGTTCTGAAATAGCATGTTTAAATATGCAAATTATCCATTATTTCATTAAATATGCACATATTTTAACACATTTCAGGAATCGAAATCTGAACTTTGGATATAGCCAGATTCAAAATTCTTGTTTCATTTTGTAGTCATATTAGTATCTAAGGCTTTTACAGAAGGGATATTGGATATCTATTTTTATCACTCCATAAATCAGAAAATACTGTCAACAGCCCTAAAATATCCATTTTCGCCATGTTTTTAGGTATACAATGTTGTATAATTCAGGCTATGAATGATATATGAACAAACCCTTCTGTAAAAGCCTTCATAATATTGATAGGAATATAACTGGAAGGTTTTGTGTATCTACGTGCTACTGAAGTTGAAATTTCGAACTCAGAGTAGGAGAAAAAACTCATTTTGAGAAAACGACCTTTAAAGATTGCAGTGAGGCGCTAGCTAAACCCTCCTGTTCTTTGGATGACAGCTTGCGCATCGACGCAATCCGTGAAGGTATTTCATGTTCAGGGTCATTTTTTTTTGTATAACCTTGCTTCGTGCAAGTGACAATTGTTGTCGTCTTCTCTGTGAACGTTTTTTTCCCCGTTCTTTTGGCATTTTGAGATTTCAATTTCTAGCTGAAAGCTAACCAGGAAGTGTTTTAGCACACCACGTGACGCATCTGAACGAATCACATTGTCAGAAATTGACACCAGCCAATGAGATTTCGTTTCTTGGTTTAAGACCCCTTTGTGCTTTCACGATTGGTTGTTGATACAAAGGAAATGACCATATTTGGATCCGATGAGATTGTGCAGGAGAGACGGAGCTTTCCAGCGATACCTCTGATGACATGGTGCACACAGCGGTCGCGGTACTTTATGTTACGTTAGAATGCTAACTTTTGGTGAATTTAGGAGAAATCTACAGACGCAAATAGACAAACTATAGTAAAATAAACACTTAAATGTGTATTTTGTACGTTTTCCTTCCAAAAGCCTGAAAGAAAACATGTTATGGAATCAAAATAGCACAAAATCTCAAAATTGACCAGTACTTGAAAAACGATGTTTTTGCCTGCCGTGTCTCGCCTTAAAACGATATCGTTTTTTCTTTTTGCGTTATCTCTAGTCTTGTAAGTATGATTGTATGGTCGTCCACCTTTTTAAGCTGTTATACTCTTTTTTTATTTATTCAAATTTGAAAGACTTGGTTACACTATTTTGTTGGTTCAGACATTACTTGCTTCATAGGACTAACATTGTTATTTTAAGCTTGTATAATGATTTTATTGTTATATTTTGTTGCAGGCGTACTCTTGCTCAGCAGATGGCACTGTCAGACTTTGGGACTTCACAGAGGGCATCCACATCAAGGTACAGCTTGATTATTGTCTTGTTTACGCTCCATGCTTTAGAATCAGTGTGGATCATCCCGACATTTAAAAAAAAAGAGCCACCATAGCAAAAAAAAATTTGATTGACATGATTTTAAACTACTAAGTTTATAAACAGGACTGTCCAAAAACCTGTATTAGTTTAGAAGGTAAAAGAAAAATGTTCCTAAAAAAAAAAAACTGCATCTCTAAACCACCTCTTTCTCACACATTTAAGCTATTCTATGTAAAAATGTAATGTAATTAGGGCCGGGACTTTAACGCGTTAATTAAGATTAATTAATTACACAAAAATTAACGCATTTTAATCGCACCTATTTTTGCACCGCGGAACGTTTCTCACTGGATGAGTTTCAGGCGTACCGATTATACTGGAGCACCAACTAACGTTCATGACTTCAGACAACAACAAACCACAGTGAACAACAGTGGGAAATGTTGTTTTAAAAAACGGATGGATGGAAGCGTCGATAAGAGCACGGTTGTGTGCAAATTATGCAAAAAGGAATTCGCATATCACCGCAGCACATCAAGCCTCAAGTATCACCTCAATGCAAAACATATAGCAGCTAGCGTGGAAGCTAGCGTGGACGTTAGCCTCATTTATCGCGTTCACACCAAAAAGAGCCGGTACTAAAATTAGTTCATGAGAACCTTTTTACCCCACGAAAGTCCCTGCTAGAGAGCAGAGAGCTGCTAGAGAGCAGGGACTTTCGTACGGCTCTCTTGTGAGAAAAGAGCTATATGTCTGATTGGCTGGGCGGATTGCAAACCACGCCCCGTAAAACTCCCAAAAAGTTTTGTGAAGCTGCCATTTTATTATCCTCGCATTAGCATTATTAGCATTAGCCCAGCGCAGAAACGCAGAGAGACTAACTTATGGCAACATAAAATAAAACATGGGAGCGGTGGAGATGAGGAGGTGTCGGCGTAGAAGCTGCTGGGAGTCCCAGCAGCTTCTACTGAAGCCAATCCCCAACTCCGGGGACTTCCGGCCGGGGACTTTGGGCGGCAGTATACGCCGTGAAGTGGTTTGCGGCCTGCCAGTAAACCCAAAGCAGAAGAAGAAGAAGTGACGTCAGCGGCTTCATTTGCCTAATCCACCCCCAGGTTCAAAGAGTTCTCATGAACTAAATTCTCATGAACCTTTGTGGGAAAAGTACTGCGGTGTGAATGCGCCTAATGGTATACTAAAATCCATGTGAAAAAAATTGCTTCTCACTGTTCTCAGGTCAAATATTTATATGTGATTAAAAATGCGATTAATTTCGATTAATTAATTACAAAGCCTCTAATTAATTAGATTAATTTTTTTAATCGAGTCCCGGCCCTAAATGTAATATATCCATTCCGCTGAAACCCCACTGTGCTGTCCCCGGTATATGTAGTGTATATATCTTAACAGCCAGATAAACTCTCTCCGTACACCAAGACTCTGAAGACGTGAATCCTTTGCCCACAGGTTTAATGATATAAGGAAGGTGTGAAACTAAAAATAAACAAGACAAAATATAATCAATTCTATGATCATTTCTACATACACAAATATGCACAATGGATATAAATCAACACAGCTTTAACATTAATTGAATTGCCTTGTTATATTTACTGTAAGCTTTTTAATGTATTTATTGTAATTCTAGAACTTAAACAGTTATAAATGGCCTCATATTTTAAACATATAATCAGCCATTTGTACATTTATTCATTTAACTCTCCTTGCATTAGCCTTGTACAACAACTCGGAAGATCTCCAGCATTAAACACCACAGAATACAATATTTCCTAAAAATAATCATCTGTAATTGTTAATAACACAAACATAAACAATACTTACATACGATGCGATCAAAGGCATTAAGACGTGTGCAGATATAGCTGGATTTCTAACAAACAATAACACATTGCTCACAGAGCCATGCTTTGCCTATTTCCTGTCTAATGATCACCTGACACACCCATCTGATGATGTCATCCTGATTCTTAAAGGGACCACGACCAGGCACAATGGGCACACAAAGAATAGCCCAGAAAATGCAAACAAGAGTCAACTTAGCTGTAACAGAACACTCCCCGTCTGGCGTGATACACGTCACCCAAATCTAGAACACTTCCATTACCTAGCCATCTGGGGGGAGAAGAGGCACCATCTCTGCAACAGGCCTAAGAAAGAGCGAAGTCCCTCCTGGTTCGATGACCTTCACCTCGACCTGATGCAACTTCCCGTTTTTGTTAGGAACAGTCTGTGTTGTCAGTCGAAGAGGCCATTCATATCTTGGTACGTGATTTGACTGCCACTTCTTGCATGCTTGAATGATGATATCTGCGGCCTGATTGGATTCCTCAACAGTGAATTCTGCCTCGCAGCAATGCCAGCCCTTACGATAACTGTTCTTTTTTGGGGTTGCCTTGAACACACATGCGATGTGCAAGAGGCGAGTAACAGAAGGAGTGAGTGACTCCCATAAAGAGGACTTGGTAGATCGCTGGGAACCAAGCTGCTTGTGAGCTGTTGCAGTGCTCAAAGTAGACACTTGAAGCCGGATATCTGGGTCTGGACTCGGATCCACAAGATCATAGGTGCTCTCAGAGATACTTGGCTTTGGCTTAGACAGAAACTTGGGTCCAGTCAGCCAGTTAGTCTTTTAAATGACCTGGAGCCACCAAACGTGTTACATGATCTGTGGGGTTCTGATCTGTCGGCACAAAAGGCAAATGGTCCAGATTGGGCACAGTACTTCCAAGGTGGTCAGCATCACAGGAGGTTTTCCCATCTGAATCCTGAGTGACTTGGAGAATAGGATACTCTAGTTCTGTGGTTTTCGTGTAGAAGCTGTTGATCGTCAATGGTTTGTTGACGCTTTCTAGACAAACATTGCCTCCAATGACCCACCCCAGATCTAACTTTTGAGCATAAGGCTGGTTGTGTGAGCCATTCATCTGTTTGCGAACCTTATGAACTCTGATAACGTCCCGACCCAGGAGAAGCATGATAGGTGCTTGTGGGTCAATGTCTGGGATGAGGTGCGCCACTGACTTGAGGTGTCCATGATTGAGAGCCACATCAGGGGTTGGGATCTAATTTCTGTTGTTAGGAATGTCATTGCATTCTATGAAGCTGGGTAATGGGATGTGGACAGTTCCATCCAGAGACTCAACTTCATAGCCACTGGCTCTTCTTCCTGCTGATTCCTTCACTCCAGCACATGTTCTCAATGTGTAAGGAACACTCGGACTTTGGTCACTGAACATTTCAAAGAACTGTGAACGAACTAATGATCTGTTGCTCTGTTCGTCCAAAATTGCATACAGTTTAATTGCTTTGTCTTTGTGGCCTGATGGATATACATTTACAAGACATATTTTGGAGCAGGATCTACCTGCCAGATCTCCGCCACAGACGTTTGTGCATTTGGTGGTGACATGAGGAGGAGGTGAAGTTTTCTCCTCCTCCCCGCCATGCTCTGGAGCAGGGACCACCTCCTCCATCCAGGGTGCTGGTCCAGGGTGAAGTGCTGTATGGTGTCTTTCACTTTTGCATTCAAAACATTGCATTTTCATTTTACAGTTCTTCGCGAAATGTGATGATGAAGAACAGCATCTGAGGCACACATTATTCTCTTTTAGGAATGCCTTACGCTCATCAATGGGCTTTGCTCGGAATGTACGACATTTGCGGAGTGGATGTGGCTTTTCATGTATCGGACACATTTTATCAAAGTCCTCAGATCTCGTTGGGGGCTCACCGGTTTCAGTAACGACTCCGGGGAAGATCTCTGTTTTGTGGACAGAGACCTCCCGATATTTGTTTGGTTTCCAACCTGTCTTATCATTCTGTTTAGCTGTGTCTGTGTGGGAGGCGAAGTTGAAGCTCGGATCATTCCTCATGATAGCCTCCTGGCTGACAAAGTTCACGAAGAAGTCAAAGGGTGGATAGTGGACAAGATTTTGCCGCTTGTAGGATGCACCGACTGATGCCCACTTTTCCTGCAGACCGAATGGAAGCTTCTGAACTATTGGGTTGACGCCTCTGGCTGTGTCGAGGAAGGAGAGACCAGGCAAGTCTCCTTCTGCTTTGGCAGATTGAAGTTCCATTAATAGATCACTTAACTTTGTCAGTTTGGAATAATCTTGATTTGTTATTTTAGGAAAGGTGTCAATGCGTTTGAACAGAGCGTCTTCAATGACTTCTGGTGAGCCATATGTTCGCTCGAGTCTGTCCCATGTCATTGCTAATCCTGCTTCAGGGTGATTTATGTGTATTGCTCTTATCTGTTCGACATGTTGTCTTGCCTCGTTACCAAGCCACCTGTGCAGAAGATCCATCTCCTCACTTGGTGTCAGGTTTAAACCCCGGGTTGCGGTCTGGAAAGACCGTTTCCATGCTCTGTAATTCTGAGGTTTTTCATTGAATTGAAGCAAACCTGTAGCAACAAGCTCGTGCAGTGCAAAATATCTCACAAAGTCATTCAGGTTTGAGTCGTCGTGATTGTAATTTGGAGACATGGGATGGGGTGATGAGGAAGGATTACCACTATGGTTTTGAGGCCTGTAATACTGTCCAGGAGTACAACGGTTGTTCTCAAACTTTACATTGCGTGAACCACGAGCACACTCGTCTCCGTTGATGCCAGGCTGCTGTGAGGTAATATGAGGTGATTGGGATCCAGGATTGGTTTGATGGAGAATGAAAGGTTTGGCTTCTGGTTTGAGCTGTGAATGTGAAATGCTGTCGCCAGGACTTGGCTTTGTAATTGCTGGTCCATAATGATCACTTAGTTGAGGTTTAGCCTCCGTTATTTTGGCTTGGTCAGCAACATATTGCTGTGTGCGTAATGCTGCTTCCAATGATACAGAGCTTAAACAGTTTTTACTCCTTTCTTTCTCAATATCTAAATCCTCAGCAGCTTCGAATACTTCTGCTTCAGCTATAACCGCAGCTGTCTCTTTCTGTATGTTGAGCATTTCCATAGATGCTTCCAACTTAGCTTTTTCCAGCCTTAGATTCATTTCCTCTTCGGCGTAGGAAAGACGTGCTTTAGCTGCTTCTGCTCTCGCTCGTGCCCTGACTGCAGCGGACCCAGTTGATGATGCTCTTGATCGTAGTTGGGAGCCTGAAACACGGGAGCGCGTGTTTAGCGAAGAAGCCTTTTCTGTCATAGCACCGTCTGATAGTGTTCCTCTCTTTAGACACTGTTTTGACGGTCATCCAGTGGCTATATGTGAAGATGCTGTCATTGTCTGCCAGCTTACACTGCGTTGTCCTGCCCGCTAAAATGCCGTATTTTCACTGTGCTGTCCCCGGTATATGTAGTGTATATATCTTAACAGCCAGATAAACTCTCTCCGTACACCAAGACTCTGAAGACGTGAATCCTTTGCCCACAGGTTTAATGATATAAGGAAGGTGTGGAACTAAAAGTAAACAAGACAAAATATAATCAATTCTATGATCATTTCTACATACACAAATATGCACAATGGATATAAATCAACACAGCTTTAACATTAATTGAATTGCCTTGTTATATTTACTGTAATCTTTTTAATGTATTTATTGTAATTCTAGAACTTAAACAGTTATAAATGGCCTCATATTTTAAACATATAATCAGCCATTTGTACATTTATTCATTTAACTCTCCTTGCATTAGCCTTGTACAATATTGAGACAACTCGGAAGATCTCCAGCATTAAACACCACAGAATACAATATTTCCTAAAAATAATCATCTGTAATTGTTAATAACACAAACATAAACAATACTTACATACGATGCGATCAAAGGCATTAAGACGTGTGCAGATATAGCTGGATTTCTAACAAACAATAACACATTGCTCACAGAGCCATGCTTTGCCTATTTCCTGTCTAATGATCACCTGACACACCCATCTGATGATGTCATCCTGATTCTTAAAGGGACCACGACCAGGCACAATGGCCACACAAAGAATAGCCCAGAAAATGCAAACGAGTCAACTTAGCTGTAACAGAAACCCCACTGATCAAAAACCCTCTCACACTTTGAAATCCTCTTATCTAACAGCAGCGTAAGCAAGTTGTTCATATTGTGGAGTGGGTACCCTGTCACAGTTTTTCCTATATATTTATACCTTCGTATAGTGAGCCCCACATAATGTGACTTGATGCACAACAAAGCAATAGGGAAGGACTAGTTTGAGATCAGTTTGGGAAAGAGCTTGTTATGTTTTCTCTGATGTTTGGCAGCCATGTATGACTATTGCTTGATCTCTTCCAGACTTACGTCATTGGATACCCGGTCTACTCCATCTATGCATCTGCACACCATGGAGGAGTTATCTTCGTCGTTACCCCCATGCTAAATGACAAAAGATCTGGTAGGTTTGACACCTTTTTTCTTCGTGGTCTTGACCTTTGTCACAGCAGAAACTTAGAATGGCCAATGTAGGAAAATTACAGTTTATTTAACATTTAATGATGGCTGTTATGAAAGTTTCTCTGGTGGTGATGTTAGCATAGCAACCGAAGCTAAACTGACTATCTTGACTACTTGTTGCTATCCTATTGTGGCATAAGCCGTTTTCTACAGGCACATTTTACCGGCGTATTTTTCATTATGATTCTACTTGTGATAGTCGGACACGACAACCTGTGCAGCCCATGTATTGATTCCATCCGATAGCTGCTATAATACAAAACAACACGTCTGCCTCTCTCCACAATGATCAATAACAGTGAACGGATGGTCAAAGTAAGGTACAAATAAACAGAATCACACGAAGCCTGGTGAGTGTTGCCTGACTTTATAAAGTGTGTGGTTGCGTTCTAGTCACTTTGCTCAGCGCTACTGCTTGTTTCAACTTTAATTTGCCGTTCTCGCCATAAACTGTTGCTCAGGTTGATCTCGGCCCTGCCTCCGACTATGCGGTTCTTGCTTCTTGGCCGACAATTTTTTGGAGCTTGGTGAGAACCGGTTTTCGGGGAAAAGAGCCGGCTCTGCTGCGGTGTGGGCAGGAAAAAACGGTGCTTATCAGGCTCTAGCTCTGAACCGGCCCTGGAACTGCGTTGGTGTGAAAGGGGCAAAAAAGTCTGCTGTGAAAAGGATATGATGACCAAGCTGTCTCAGCAGCCTTTAGACAACCTGTGTGCTTTGGCAAATTTGACTTATTTTGACTATTTGACTTTACTAGTGTAAACCAACAATAAAAGTACTGCTATGCAGTTACTCATTTATGTTTTTTACATTACGTAACGTTGTGTTTCAATCCATTTTTGTTGACATTTAACCATTCACAAAAAATCCAACAAAACAAAAAACAAGGGGTGCAGAACTGCTTTAACTGGCTGGTCAAACTCTAATCGAACAGCACAATGAATCTCCTATTATAACCACAATAGGAAAAACATTATTTTAGGGTCGAATGTCATAAAATAACAACAGATTTATAAAAAAAAAACAATAGAAGCACTGCATGTAAAAAGATCACTTTGGAGAGAGCCACAATAATATAATAGAAAATAGGGCTGTGCAATTAATCGTATTTTAATCTCGATTACGATTTTGGCTGGCAACGATTACGAAAACAGCGTCATCGAAATAAAACGATTATTTTGCTTCATTCCCTTTCGCAATAATGCTCTCAATTTGTCTTGCATTATACGTCCTGCCCGCGCATGCGCTTTCGCCCCTCCCTAAAAGCCCTCTCGGCCAGGTTGTGTTGTGACCATAGACTGTATATATATATATAAAGGTTGTGACTTGCAGTCTGTTTAATAAATCCATATAATACGTTGCCGTGTCTTTATTCTCTGGTCCTCCATGCTCCGGTCTCTAGCGTACAGTCACATTTTACTAAGTCGTCATGCCGGAGCCTCTTAGCTCGCTACTTCCGGTTTCCGGATAAGGGGTTACTAAAATAAGAGTACTGTGGTTAGCAGTATAATTAAACATTACAGTTTGTGAGTGGCATTAGTTATCATATTTATATATGTTTAGTAGGTTGTGGAAGTGCGCTCCAAGATATTTGTTGATCTTTATTGGTATTTATTATTTTTGATATTATTTATTTAAATGTAGATATAAATGTATACTTTTATTTTATTTTAATTTTGTATTGGTTTTTCAGTGGAATTATACTTAAAGTTCAGAGTAATCAACTGTTAAAAACATACTGTTCAAATTATTATTATTTTTTATTTTTTAAAGTTCAATAAACGGATGTTTTCAAATTCAATGAATAATTGTGATTATGATTTTTGCCATAATCGAGCAGCCCTAATAGAAAATGTAACCAAAAAGGTGCACACCACTACTTACAGCACCCTATTATTCAGTTGGGAAGAGGTGTTTTCATTCTTGTAGTGGCATAAATAAATATGTATTACATACATACATCTCACACGAATATTTCATACTGAGATGTGTTAAAACTTTTCTCTGTGGAATACTTATGTGCGTGTAGTAGAAGTTTTCCAAATAGCAAAGTTAGATCATCTAGATCAGTGTTTCTCAAACTTTTTCATACCAAGGACCACTTAACCAATAAAAAAACACTCGCGGACCACCTAACTCCACAAATATCCAAAACATATCGTTTTTCTAGAACAGATTACAAATCGCCTGAAAATGGTACAGACAAGTGGCAACATGTGTGATGGTGTTGCGCTGGGCTATATCATGACATTGAAACTCAAGCTCGCTCCATTGTGGAGATAGTGCGGAAAACTTAAATGTATTTATTTAAAATGTGAAATTTTACCAATATACTCAGGGACCACTAGGGGGCACTCACGGACCACCAGTGGTCCACGAACCACACTTTGATAAGCACTGATCTAGATGGAAATTGTTGACTCCCAAGTGTTTTTTTTCAGCCCATTAATTTCAGTGTCAGCAGGTCAAATCAGGACTTGCATCATTTTCATTTTATCTAGTGTTTATTTACTTAGGCACACTTTTTTTACACTAGGAGGCACATAAATGTTAAATCATGTGGACCTAACGTGTGTGTAGTAGAATTTGGGTGAGAGTTCACTGGGTGAGGATGTGTTCAACACTGTGTTTGCAGAGGTGTTCCAGCTGGTTGCAGTGCATCTTCCTCAAAGCGGAGATCAGCTGGTGGAGGCCCTAGAGCTTTCTGCTGTGATCAGCGACGTCAGCTCCAACCCAGCAGCCAATTGCTTTGGCAAAGGGGTAAATACAGCACCACTACTGTGATCTGCACATCATCTGGAACTGTTCCATTCCCAAAAGTGATGTCCCATACTTGCCAACGTATAGAGGGATATTAGACAAAACTTTATCTGACTTTTCTGCCGTGGCAGAAAACATTTTTGTGGGAGATTACATTTCTTGGCAATGAGATCTAGATATATATATTAATCGCAAGTGTTACCCTTTTAAACAATAAGATATACAGCTTTAGCATTATTACCACTTGAGTAAAGTTCCCTGTTGTTGCTTGGTTTCTTCCACCATGTATGTCTTTTAAACAAAAATATTATCTGTCACAGGGGGAATTTATTGCTTCAGCTAAAGGTTTGCATCTGGAGGTCTTCTTCTTCAAGAAGCAGAAGTCATACAGGTGAGCCACACTGCTTCAGTTAACCTGTTAAGCCCCATAGCCCCCACCGGCCGAATATCCGCTGCTGATTACTACCGAATATCCGGAGCCCGAAAAATGGTATTCGGGACAGCCCTACTAACCCATCATCCAAGGGTGGTTTTCACTATAAGTAATGTTTTTTTTTTTTTTTTTAAACGGACACTATAATTAACGTTTTTTTTTTAGGGCTGTCAAGTTACCGCGTTAATAACGAGTTAACGCAAAACAAATTAACGCCACTAATTTATTAGTTTCAGAGCGCATCGAGTTTAAAATACCATCTACAAGCTGATGCTGACAGCCCCGCTCCTGCCATCCGCTTGCGGCAGACCACACTTCCACGCTCACCGGCAGGCACCGACTGGCTGTTGGGAGGACCGGGAGGGTGTGTGTATGTGAGGCGCGAGCGAGGCACACCTTACGTGTTGTTGTTGTTGTTAGCGCAGCTAGCTAGCACCAGATGCTAACGGATATAAGGAGCTGTTTCAATGAAAACAGAGGAGCGACATTTCGCCGACAACTGCGCCGAGCACTTGACTTTATGCAGGAAGCCAGACAGTGGGACATTGTACGAAAAGTCAGCACACTCAGCACGGATAGTGCGCAACATTATTGCAGCGTCCAGGCAGCTCCCGTTCGAGCATATGCCTTGAGTTGCACATAGCTCCAACGATCCATCATAGTGTCTCCACACACACACACACACACACACACACACACACACACACACACACACACACACACACACACACACACACACACACACACACACACACACACACACACACACACACACTTGAGGCGAATATTTGTGATGTTCAGAGTGTGTGTGTTTAATATTCATGAGAATATTTGTCATTGTTCAAATGATAATAAACAAACATATAAAGCATATTTGTCCACTCATATGTTGATAAGAGTATTAAAAACTTGAAAAATATCCCTCTAGAACAGATAAAAAGTGTGCGATTAATTTGCGATTAACTATTTTAATCGACTGACAGCCCTAGTTTTTTTACTATGTTCAATCTGAATTTACTTTAAAATTAAAAAAAATCTATATTGATTGTGACTTTTCTACATCCAACTCACAGGTGTAACCTTGCTTTGAGAAAAAAGATGATTAATTTAACCCTTTTAGAAGTGAAGTTATGGTCATTTGTTCTGGGAATGTCATTTTGGAGCCTGAGACCTGAAAAACAGGCTCAGGGCTGAACAGGTTAACAGCTGTGGAGTAGTTTTTGAATATGCAAATTCATTATTTTCCATCAATTGACACATTGAGTTTCAAATTGCGAAGTAAAACCATTCACAGCTACGGATTGCAAAGGCCAAAAACACCATTTATTTTGTTCCAGACACAAAGTTATGTAGAACTCAAGAGTAAAGATCATGAAACACTTCACATCTGCCAACTAAGCCACAAGGATGATCAATAATACTGCATGTCTGTCCTTGTGCGGCCTGTTAATAGGTTTTCCCTCAAAGAAGACAACAAGAAGGGAGGCAAGAACACATTCATGTGCGTTGCCTGTCACCAGAAAGAGGACTGCATTGCCACCGGGCATGAGGACGGCAAGATTCGCTTGTGGTGAGTGCAGCAGCAACATAGCCTTGGAGCATATTCCTCACGTCCAGTGCTTTGTTGATTTCAAATTGATATTCTTAACAGATTAGGCACATTAGGTCTCTGTAGTGATGTTTATGACGTGTATGAATCTAGAAGATGCACGCTTTTCTTACATTACCCTTTTGTCCTTTCAGGAGGAACTTCAACCACAAGAAGGAGTACACGTACTCCACCCTGCACTGGCACCACAGTGCTGTCAGCTCACTGTGCTTCACACCAGAAGGTACACACACACATCACCTGTTTTATCCTTTCTTTCTTCATCTATTTCAGACAGGATTATTCTTTTCAATACAGCTATTTTAAGATCTTGGACAGGCAACTAGAGTTTTTGTCCTGTTTTGAAAATAATGTTGTGCTTGAATGACTTAATTAGTTCCGGATGGTCCTGCCTCTGTATCCATTTGGTCTTTGCTTTCTTAGGCACTAACCTACTGAGTGGAGGCTTGGAGTCAGTGCTCGTCCAGTGGCGGTACAACCAAGAGAGTCAGCGGGATTTCCTGCCCCGCTTGGGTTCTGCCATCACACACATCGCAGTCTCACCGGATGGAGCACTGTTCTGTACCTCACACAGTGACAATAGTAAGGAGCTATAACCTGTATTATTCACTTGGATAAAACACAATTCGCAACAAGCTGTTGGGAATGTTTTGACGGTGGACACCAGGGTTTTGTGTCACAAACAAATGTGATAAATACCGGTCTAATGTCTGTGTTTACTGAGCTTAAAAACAACTGGTAGGCAGGCTATATAAAGAATGAAATCGTCAAAGCATGTAGAGTTAGAATAAACTGTATTGAAAAGTTGGCTTATGCTGCTTATACATTAAATTCCAAATACAGGCCAACTGAACACGTAACGCTCACTAAGTGGCTTATTCAACTCTACACTTCGCTGTAATCACTGAAACTATTACCAGCTGGTGGTTTCATATCAACTTTATCCTCTACATAGCCTGTAGGTTTACTTTCCCATATTACACAAACTCCTTGAAAAAGTTTTGTAGTACTTGGTGCTGGGTCCAAAACCAAAGCTGACAGTCTTAGTTTACCTGTGATAAACACCACCTATGTGCACTGCAGGGGTCTATATTACATCTTCCTAAGAGAACGTTGTGATCAGAGATATTTAAATATGACGAAATGGCAACACTTTTTCCTTAAAAAAAAAAAAATACATGTCTTTTTTTTTTTACCAGATAACGGAAACCCTATTGCACATCGAGTTGTATAGTGTTTGAATCCATCATCTAGTGGCCAGTCGTGGTACTACATCTCAAATGCTCTGGTTGCCACCTGGTTTGAACCCTGAGAGCTTTACATTTGACAGTACACACTTTGACCCTTGCAGTTCGCTGATGGAGTTAAGAAAGGCAAATGGCTGCAGCGCTAAAATGTTAAGATAGAACGGTTTAAGAGATTTCAGTATCAAATACAGGCCATGGTAACTGATTTCTGTTTTTCCTCTTTTAGAGATTACGATCATCCAGAGTAGTGTTAAAGTGTCGGCTGTCATCCAGGGCCTGGTCAAAGGTGAGTACACACTCGAGGTCGATCATAAATATGCTGTATTCGCTCATAAATGATACATATCTTCATTACAGTTCTTGGAAAACAATCTTTGATTACCAAAAGAGAATAACAAAGCCCTGGCATGACTTTGGCATAAACATTAGCAATAAATCAAACAAGAGTGCACGGGGCTTTTTTTTTTAAGAAACTGTGTCTCAGGGCTTCTTAACATTTATGAAACTATTAATTTTCCATACTCACTTAACGGGAAGAAACTCAGCTAACTGACGATACGAAAACATTTACCGAAACAAAACACAAGTCTCACAAGAAGCGTCTAAATGAGCCCTAAGCGAAAAAATGCTATCGCACTTAGCACAGAACTCTAGGTATAAATACCCTTATTACTTATCGTATCTGCACAAACAAGATATCAATTAGCAAGCTGAGATTCCACAGATTCCAGAAATATTAGTATCATCACTGAGCGATCCGAACTTGCGACAGGGCAAGCGAAAACAGACATCACAACATGTAGCTTCACGGAGGACACACAGATATATTTTTACCTAAGCTGTTGTTCTGATCAAAAGTTGTGTTCAAAGGCATTAAAACGATACAAATACTGCTGAAGGCTAATCCAATGGTTAATCCAATGTGTCTGTCACGTTGAAATTATTTTTGATAATCCATCTTCATATTTACTAGTTTGAGCCTAGTTTTCAGAGCGTAACATAGCTTTCGACTGCGTGCACGTCACACTCACTCCTCAATAGTAACGTGTGTGTGTATGTGGAACTTCCCCTTTGATTCTATTGGCTCTAACGGTTCAAAAGAGGTGTCAATCACCAAAATCGACAAATGGGTTCCAGAGAAACGGCAAATCCACCCAAATTACCCAAAAGGTGTTTTGTTTTATGCTAAACCTCTCTTAAAAAGGTCACATTTCACTTGTTTTGCATCAATCTTGATACAGGGTACTTATTATATGTTATAGTTTGGATTCCTAAAGCTTTTAGTCTACTATCCCATCATTCAAGGGTGGTTTTCACTATAAGTCATGGTTTATTTTTGGCCAGACACTATAATTTAAATTGTTTTACTATGTTCAATCTGAATTTTCTTTAAAATAAAACAATTCTATATTGATTCTGACTTTTCTACATCCAACTCACAGGTGTATCATTACTTTGAGAACAAAGATTATTCATTTAACCCTTTTTAGAAGTGAAGATATGGTCATTTGTTCTGGGAATGTCATTTTCGGGCCTGAGACCTGAAAAACAGGCTCAGTGCTAAACTGGTTAATCGACTCCTATGCAGTGGGTTTTTTGTGTCTTTTATCACCAGGTATATCTTGTTTTATATTTTGTATCTTTGTTCAAGCAGATTGACATGGTGTAAAACAAGTATTCTGTTGTAGTTGCATACGTTTGTGCCAGTCTGCAGGGTAAAAATGTTTTATCCTGTAAAACCACTTTATATTTTCAATCAACCTAGAATAAACTAGAAGCAATTGATATTCACTCCTTTTTTTGTCCTGGTACAGGAGAAAGTGTCAGGACAGACTTGATGGTGGACCCTCGCAGCAAATCCCTGGTGCTGAACGGGAAACCAGGCCAACTGCAGTTCTACTCCCTCCAGAGAGACAAACTGCTGTACAACGTAAGCACTCAAATAGGGTCCAGGGGGCTTGCAGTAACATATTTTGATTACAGACAGAGTTAAACACAAATATATATATATACTGATCCTCATTGTGAATTATCTTTGAATTTATAAACATGTATGTAACATTTGAGCATTTAAACAAGACCTAGGTTATATATTTAGAATTTTCAAATAAGTCTTTAATTATAATCAAGTTAACACTCAGTTTTATTTGATCTGCTTTATGATGAAATATCTCTGATTGTTGTGAATCAGTATTTTTGTTGTCTGCCAGTCATAAATTGTCTTTTTTTCAGTTTTATGCCACATTTGTACAGTCTACTGAGTCCAGTAGTACAGTTTACTGTTTTAATAACATAATCCTGAGGTTTGTCATCTGCTGTGTTTCCCACAGCTGGATATAGTGCAGCAGGAGTACATCCATGAGTCGGGCCTGGAGCAGTTTGAGGTGGTCAAGGCAGCTTTTGATGCCTCTGGCAGCTGGATGGCAACAGTAGAAGAAAGAAATCAGAAAGCCGCTGAGCTGGAGCTTAACTTGAAACTGTGGGCATTTGATGAACAAACACAGAGGTACAGACAGCGAAACTACATCTGACATTTCTATATTCTGCTGTTTCATTTAAACAGATACAATTCAATTGTAGACTTTCCAAAAGTGTCTTCAACATTGTAGTTTTGTGAATCACACTGTTGAGGAAAGGTCAGTGTTTAGTATGAATATTTCATTTTTATTTTTACAACCCTATATCATGCTTATGGTATCACCTGCAGTTTTGTTCTGAACACGACTATCTCGACCCCCCACGAGGCCCGGATTACAGACATGTGCTTTTGCCACGCTGCCGACAGCCAGACCACCATGCTGGTCTCCACCAGCAAGGACGGACACTTCAAAGCCTGGCAGCTGAGTGCAGCGGCCCACACAGAGGGTGAGCAGTCCTGGTTCTGCTCTGTTCGACTGTGGTCATATCTACCTTCTCTATTGTAATGTATAATCTCTTGGATTTACACACGGCATCTATTGTCCGTCCTGGGAGAGGGATCCCTCCTCTGTTGCTCTCCCTGAGGTTTCTCCCATGTTCCCTTTAAACTGTGGGTTTTCATCTGGAAGTTTTTCCTTGTATTGTCATACTGATATTCTGTACACACTGTGAAGACCACTGAGACAAATGTAACATTTGTGATATTGGGCTATATAAATGAACATTGATTGATTAATATTGTAGAGGGTTAGACTTCTGGTTGTTGATGTGCATCTCCAAGAACTATTGCTGTGTCTTAATTAGTTGAGAGTGGAGCACTCAACACTTGGTGCAATCAAACACCTTCTTGGCTTCGTAGCGGAAGTGGCGCAGTCGAGGTTGAACCAGTGAACGCAGCACTTTGCAAATGCACTTTTTTCACTATTTTATGATGGCTTTACAAAGCATCAGTTTGATTGTTGGGTTGGAGCCAAATTGGGGAGTACATTTGTCACTAATCTAACACCCCGGTGCCTGTCTCCTTCTAACCCCCCTTTCAGATGAAGGTCCTTCCTGGTCGTGTGATTTTGTCGGAGCCTATCACAGCCTGGTGCCTGAGCGCTGCTGTTTCTCAGCCGATGGCTCGCTGCTGGCAGTCAGCTTTCAGGAGGTGGTGACGGTGTGGAGCCCGGCTTCCTGGGAGCTCCTCACCACTCTGTCTCAGCCTCCTCAAGCTATCAGGTCAGAGCACACACATGTACTCGCCTCCCACACATCTCCAGGGCTGCCTGTGGAACCTCAATACTTGTGTGTTGATTGTGAGGAACTGATTATGTTTGAAGCGTTGTTAAGTATTGAAAAAATTATTGCTCGTAGGACTGCACAATGAATCCAAATTATTATGAAACTGCAGTATGGAACCGTGCAATGTTCAAATCACAAGAAGCACAACATGTGTTAAAGGTCCCATATCATGGTCATTTCTACCGATCATAATTCCATGGTTGAGGTCGACTAGAATACATTTATATTGTGCAATGTTCCAAACTCACATTGGTTTCTCAAACAGCATCTCTGTATAGCATGTGTATTCACTCTCTGTCCTACACGGCTTGTTGGAGCTCCTGCCCCCCCCTCCCTGTTAGCCCAGTGTGCTCTGATTGGTCGGGACGTGCACTGCTCACGAGCAGTGAGGAGCTGCTGTGAGGAGCAGACAGGGCTTCTGTGTCGGAGATAGATACAGCGAGAACAAGCTAAACTCATCCTGAGCACACAAACAGTCACAGCCGAAGTAAAAACAAAAAGTGTGGCTTGATATTGAGAAAGAAAAAGGTTTAGAACGCTGTGAGCATGGGTCTGCGGAGAGCATTTCTCCGCCATCCCAACGTAGCAGCCCGAAAAACGTTTACCCATTTAAACAGTCATGGTAGATACCTTGTTTGTTTTAAACATCCTAAATACACAAACCACAATGAATACTTACAGGTTGTGTACCCGAATCTCCCACTGGTCCAAACAAAGCAGGAGTAGTGTGTGTGTTGCATGTAGCAGCCGCATGTGTGCAAACTGCCCCGCTCCCTCACACACAGACGGGGAGAGAGAGATCTCTCGTCAGGATTGGAAAGATCGAAAATACTAAAAACAATCATAGATGCATTTTTGCAGTCTTTTTGCATATTAGATACGCCAAAACTGCAATATAATGTTTGTAGCATAATAAAAATGACATATCGTTCTTCAGTGCCCTACACTGTACATATCCGGCATGAATTGCTGAAAGGTTTGGGAAGCTTTGTTTCGTGAAAGGCTGGCAGAGGGTGCGGCCATAGCTCTGGGCGTGGCTACTGGGTATCCCTACGTAGTGACACCCAGGAAGAACATGAGAAATCTCCAACGAGGCGTTTTGGGGAGTTTTACTCCCTACAGGGTGTACTTTGAGGGGTTTTGACTCTGCAGACCGTTTACATGCATTAAAAGCTTCATAACACAAGGGGACGGGTAATAACCGGAAAAGCATGACATGGGACCTTTAAGGCTGATTATGTGCAGAGACATCACAGCCTACAGGTTATATTCTGACTGACTAAAAAACACTTGTTTGGTCAGATCCTCTTTACAAAAATCCACCATCAGTACTAATAAGAATAATGATGCAAAACTTTCAATCCCTCTACTGTAAATCATATTGCTGTTGCAATAGCAATCAAAACAGCTCGATTAGTAACTTTTTCATCGTGCAGCTGTGATTGCTCAGATTCTTTACATTGTATTTTAGTTAACCGCCAGCTGTTGGTGTTACTTTGTACTACTCAGGCATGACAATCACTCACCTTTCGGCGAAATTTGCCGTTTTGAATCCAAAATAGGTAGTTTGTGTGATTCATGTAGATCTGCAATACAAATATTTTTTGGGGTATGGGGGGGTCTGGGACCCAGAGTAATCTGCGGCCGTGAGCTGTTATGTGCCATCATGACACGCATGGTGTTCTTTTTTTATATATTATAATGCAGCGCGAGCTGTGTGCTCGAGTCTTCCTGCCTGTCGGCTCTGCTGCTCCGCGATGATGGTCTAGCTTCAGCAGCCACATTACCTACGGGTGCATTCGTTAATATTAACTGTGCGGTCCGGAGTCACTGTGGTACAGACTGGACCGCTGGTGAACAGCTGTTAGAACGGGGCGTTCAGGTGTTCAGCGCAGAGCGGCAGAGCGTGATGTAAACTGAAAAGTACTTTTAATTAAGTACTCAGATCTTGTACTTAATTAAAAGCAGAAATACTCAGATCTTGTACTTGAGTAAAAGTAGAAGTACCAGAGTGTAGGAATACTCTGTACTGCATTCAAAATGTTCCTCAAGTGAAAGTAGAAAAGTATTCTCATCAGAATATAGTGAAAGACAGTAAAAGTAGTCGTTGTGCAGATTGGTCCATTTCAGAATAATATATATGATATGTTTTATAATGATTGATCATGAAAGTGTTCTCAAAGCTGGTAAAGGTGCAGCTAGTTTGAATGACTTTGTATACTGCAGGGTAGCTTGTGGATTTACTCCAGGTGGAACTAAAGTCTGATTCAACACTTGGTTAGATTTCACATCATTCATCCTGATCTGTGAAGTAACTAAAGGGATTAAATACATGTAGTAGAGGAAAAGTACACCATGTACCTCTGAACTGTAGAGGAGAAGAAGAACAAAGTAGCAAAACATTGAAATACTTAAATAAAGTACAAGTATCTCAAAATTGTACCCACGTACTTGTTGAGTTGATGAACTTAGTTACTTTACACCAGATGCCATAAAGATAGAAAGACTAAGCCTTGCACAGAGGCATGAAAATACATTTTCAAAATGCTCAACAGTGCTGCCAAAATTATAAACTGACTGCTACACAATTAAAATAAATGCTTTTATATATTTCTATTAGATGTGACTCTTTGGCGTTTCTGTTATTATTAACTGCTGCTTTAGTTGTTTTGACTGCTAAAATGCTCTGTTCCTCATTTTAAAGCCGATATTCCGTGGGGTCGGGGGGCTCGGGTCCTTGTCACCTTTTCCATACCTGATGAGTTTGCATCCCTGATAATACTTAGTAAGGAGGCCATAATATTTTTGACTCATGGCTGAAGTTAAGTTTCTCCAGCTCTCCCCAGGTTGGCAAAAAAATGCATCAGATTGATGCTTTAAAATATGGAATATTCAAAATGTTCTTCCGGGGGAGCATGCCCCCGGACCCCCCTAGAGGGATAATATCCTTCTCACCTTTTTCACCCCTGACCTGTTTTCATGCCTGACTACTATTGTGCCACTTTTTTAATAGAATTGTCCAAAAATCTATGATGATATTACACAGTATGGTTACAGTTGGATTTATAATTTGTATGGCTAACTCATCCCAAACAAGAGACAGCAAATGAATACAAAACAACAGAATTTGTCTGAACATCAGCCAGTTTGTATGCTTCAGTGTTTCCCACAGATCTGAAATATATTTGGGGGGGTGCTGGTAGCAGGTGCGGGGGGGGTTGAGGTGACTTGCCTTTGTGACGTGCAACAACATGAACCTTTCTGTTGGTCGCTTGTTGGCAGACCCTTCACGCGATGGCAGAGCGAACAGGTACAGGCAGGGCTCATAGTGACAGCCCTATAGTTTAAATCTACTACCCACACATGAACATATGGACATGGGTTACTATTTAAAAAATGGTAAATGTATTTAGGAACCTATCGATGTGATTGGGGGTGGACCTCAAACTTCTAGGGGGTCCGGGGGCATGCCCCCCCGGTAAGATTTTATTTTGGAGTTAAATGCATCAATCTGGTGCATTTTGAGGGGGAAATAAAGAGACTAGATCTATGGAAACACCTATATGAAACAGAACTGTATACATTTCAAAAATCATAAAATCATGGCCATAACCAATAACATACCATTTCCAGTATGAAAAAAACACTAAAACTTGTTTATTTATTTGTTTTTGGTTCATTTATAGTTGTGAGTGTGTCTGTGCTCCTGAACCAGCCTCTCCTGTCTCCCTCCTCTCCCCCCTGCTCCTCTTTGAGGCAGCAGCAAAGACTAGTTTTAAAAGTGTATCTTACCTTTTTTCCCCTAGTTAACTTTTTTAATTTTTTTATTCATGCATATTTTACTGATCACTACCCTCTCAAATGGAAATATGTGTTTACATAAATGGTGACCACACCGTTTGAGACCCACTGAGAACTTAGACTAAGTTAACTATCGAAACACTCAGAGAGTGCTTCACCTCACCTGAGCTGAGGTTATCCCGAGCTTGAATTACACAGAGACCAATCAAGGGCTTTGATTTATGATCTGTATGACAGTGGCCATGTCGGCAGGCCACATCATGTAGACAGCCAGTCACCCTGTGTGAGGCAGGCCACTTAACAGGCCAGGTCATCGGGAAACCCCCCGGTCCTCCCGATGGCCAGTCCGGGACAGGGTACAGGAGGCGTAGAGCGAGGGATGATTGTCCAAAAGTTGGCGTTGTGGTCGTGGATGAAAAAAACAAAACGAAATGGGTGGCCGTTAATATACCTGGGCGGCCCGCCCAAGTAAAGTCTGTGTGGGAAACCCTGTGCTTATTACAAACGTAACAGAAATATCAAAGACTATGACTATAAGAGGATAATTGACCCAGTAAAACATTCAGTTAACATTATATTTGTAAAGGATATGGCTGGTTTTATTCCCTTCCAACACAACACTCTAATGCAAAGAATCATTAATTTTTAAGCAAGAATCTTATTAAGTGTCTTAAACGGATGTATAAAAAAAACAAGACAAACACAAAGTAAGTGATTTAGCAAAGATAGGGTTATAGAGAGACCGCTGCTAGAAGTTAAACTTAATATGCATCCAAATGTTGGTCTCAAATTGATCATAGCTTGCAATTAACTGCACTGTAGCTTCACTAAAGAAATACTGGTTTGTTGATTTGTACATCCCAAGTAAGCGCAGAATAGACACACTGGGGTACACATTCAGGGAGAACAGTATCACTGCACACACAGATTCACTAAGCAACCAGCTGTTTGAGAGTTTGGCTCCTTAGCAGTGGATGTCTAAGAACAGTTAAATGAGCTTGTTAGCTCCCTGGCAGTGGTCCAGAGCTGTTTCTCACCGGACAGGGGACGTTACCGCCTGTCTGCCAGAGGAACACAGGGACAGGCTGCAGCTTCACAACGTTGCTCCAGTCTCTGAAATGTTCTGCAGACCCCCCCCCCCCCCCCTTCCCTGCTCTCAAAAAGGGGCCCTCGGGTCACTGAGGACAAATGTCCTGTTGCTAGTTTCTGTTCCACTTTCTGAAATAAGCTCTGAGTCAGCTTAAGCATTTTTCCAAAACCATCAAAGAGAGACGACTTGCGATGTATCAAATAGTGAGAAAAACCTTTCAAACCATTAAATATCATTTGAAAAGCATAAAAGAGAACAACTCTGTGATGCGTGGGTGCAGGCAGACTTTTGGTTTAGTTATGTTGACTTTCCACAAATGTAACCTGTCCGCATTAAAAAATGCTTAACTGTTCTAAAAATCCAGAAAGCCACTTCCTGTGTCGTTTGGCTGCTGAAGATAATACGTTTGGAGGGAGGGAAATGTTAATGGCCAGCTGTTTTGACAGCTGCCTGGTAACCCTCACATAACTACCACCTATGGATATGTGCTGACCTCCAACCTCACCAACTCCACACTTTCACGTGTAACTAGAGAAATAAAAAAACTAAACATTCTTTACCAAGAAAAGTCATTGTCACCAATGACTTTAAATAATATGCAGACAATGTTGGCCTTCTTTTTTTATTTTTGTGCGAGACAAGCATTTTCTGAATGCTAATTCTTGGTGGGAGTTCAGACTGCTTGCGTGTTTCATTTTGAAGCCCTTTTAAGCGGAAAACACCTAAAAAGCTAATCCTGTGAAATATGTGTGGTGTGAGGAGCTGGTGTACTTGGGATTCTTTATAGCACCAGGGATAAAAAGGATTTTTTTTCTCCAACAGGGATCTTTGTTTTGGGCGCCTAAGCTGTTCTAAGTATCTGCTGGGAACCACGGCCAGCAAGCTGCTCTGCTGCTGGAACCTGCTCACCTGCTCATGTGAGGCTGCACCTTCAGAGGACCTGTCAAAACTTTTGCTGCTCAAAGCATTTGTTGAAATGTATGTATTTTTGTAGGTTTTGTTCCTATATAATTATACCTCTCTGTGCTGTGTCCCCGGCAGTGGAGTGGAGCACCACGATGGACGTCAGTCTGCTGCTGGCTGACCCCCTCACTGAGAACATGGCCGCCTTCTGCTTTCAGGCTGGAGGCACCGACTGTAAGCTTTAATCTGGGTTTTAGCTTTGCCAAGTTTCACATCCCAAGGCACAAAAACAGTTTATAAAAAACAAATTTGAAAACCAAGCAAGTAATATGTTAACGACAACCTTTAACACAAATCTGAAATGACTTGAAAGTAATAGTATCAAAGTCCTAAAGATTAGATCTGAGAAATGTATTCCAGCCTACTGTTATGCTATTTGCTCAATGAGAAGGTCATACGTTTAGCAGGTCATAACCAAATTGTGGGTAAATACAAAATATTGACCTAATGCTGGCGCAAGAGGAATTGTCTCGGAATCACCAAAGTTATAATGATAATGTTTTACTCCAGGGAGACATTAATATCTGATCCGATAGTCTTTGAGAGATGGATCAAAAGGACCCACCAACATTTCCATTCCTGGAATCATGCAGCTATCTAAAAATACTACATTTCTTCCAAGAAACAAATCCAAAATGCTTGTTGATCCGAGATACAGCTGCTGCATCTGTTCACAAAACTAAATAACAAGTTATCCAGAAACACAACCCAGGCAGATATTTGCCTTGTTGTGGATAAATATTTTTATTTTGAGAGTGAGCAGACTGTCTGTTAGTGTGCTTTGCCGATTTCTTCGCTGGCAAGCCACCAGCTCTTTAAAGGAAGTCCGATTGCCCCCGGTACCGGGGGCAGACGCAGCATCTCTTAAGAAACAGCGTTAACATTTAACAACCTATTAATGATGCATATCCACTTAACAGGAAGCAACTCAGCTAACAGACGATACTAACAATTTTTACCTAAACGAAACACAATTCCAACACCAAGCGTCTAAATCGTCTTAAACGAGCTTGAGCTACATTAGCACATATTTGGCGATAGCAATCTTTTCTACTTCATGCTATCTGCACAAACGACATATCATATGAAAGCTGAGATTCCACAGATTCTATTGGTTTAAGTCTCATCACTGTATGACCAAAAACTCACTGAACTAGCAGCCAGGAAAGAGCAATATTTATAAATATGTCTTACCTTTGCTGTTTTGTGATCAAAAGTTGTGTTCAAGGGCATAAAAACGCTGCTGAAGGTTAATCCAATGTCTCCGTGTCACTTTGAAATGATTACTGATAATCCATCATTACATGTATTGTAATAAACGGCATATAATGTTTAGCATCTGCTTTAGGGCATGTGTGTGCGTCATTTTAACTGACCAATGGTAATGTTTACATGGATTTACGAACTGCCCCTCGATTATATTTGCTCTAACGGTTACAAAGAGGTGTCAATCACCCAATTTGACCAATGGGTTCCAGAGATGCGGCCATGCGTAATGCATAGGTCAGACTGGCAGCTGGCGCACCATCACGCTTTGTGGTGAAAAAAGGTATAGAGGTCATGGTGAATTTTCCAAAAAGGTCAAAAACAGTGACACCTATAGTGATATTCCAATGAAATAAAATGAGTTTTACAGTGTGGTACCTGAGAAAGGTCAAATGGCACCGATGGTACCCAAATGTACCCACATATTAGTGCGCCTGGACCTACCTGCTAAACCTCTCAAAGAAAGTCAAGTTTCACTTAATTAGCATCTATCCTGACACAGGGTATACTTATGATATATTATAGTTTGGATCCCTAAAGGTTCTGGGCTAGTATTCCATCATTCAAGGGTGGTTTTCACTATAAATAATGTGTTTTTTTTAGGCGGAGATTAGAATTTAAATTGTTTTACTATGTTCCATCTGAATGTACTCTGACACAGCAACATCTATATTGATTCTGACACTTCTACAGCCAATTCACAGTTGTATCATTGCTTTGATAAAAAAGATTATTCATATACCCCTTTTAGTTGTGAAGATATAGTCATTCATTCTGGGCATGTCATTTTCCAGCCTGAGGCCTGAAAAACAGGCTCAGGGCTTAAGAGGTTAAAGGAAGGGTAGGAAGGGTTTTTTTATAATACTTTCTTTTTTATAATACTTTCTTTTTAATAATACTTTTTTCCCTTTTTTTATTTCCAGTGTTTGTGTTTAAGCCCAGCGAGCCTCGGCCCTTGTTTTCCCACAAGGCCGTGTGCTCAGGGAAGGTGACTCGTGCCATCTTCTCCCCGCGGGAGGAGATGCTGGAGAGCTGTGAGGAGAGCAGCCAGTGGCTCAACCGCTCCCAGCTCCACTTCCTCACTCAGTACATGGTAAGGCCATAACATCTCTCCATACTGACTGTTTACCTAACAACAAAGAGCAGAACAAAGGAATACTCATATACTTGTGTTCACCCTTAGAGTTACGGGTAGGCTTTCAGAGGCAGTTTTCAAACATGTAGAATAGTTATATTCAGCTTGAACACAGCTGATGACATTTTGTTTGTTGGATAATGATCTATTTGGTCACTATGCTGTTGAGTTGGTCCAAAGGGGGCGCTACACTTAGGCTGCAGGCACACGAGGACGATAACGGAAAGGCACCGAAATCGTTGTCAAAAAATCTTCCGCCCACACGCAATAGGCACCAGAAACGTGTCTGTCCACACGAGACAGCTCGAACCGCTGGAGACGCTGTAGTACAGGGGTACTCAAATACAAATCTTAAAGGTCCAAAATAAATGTTTCAATAAGACAAAGGTCCGTTTATTACGGTCATTCAAACTTTTAAACAATTGCAACAAGATTCTTAACACGAGGTTGCAAAAACAAAAATAATCTGTATGCAGCAGTTTTCATTGTTATTGTGTCTGTGCTTGACCCCTCAGAGTCGCAGTGTCAGAGCTGCACAGTTATGAATAAAGGCAGCTGCACCCTCTTTCATTCAGCATTCCCATTATTGCTTTATAAATGTCTTGCCCCCTTGTGTGTCCACTGAGGTTCGTCAGGCCCAACACATCTTCAACAAACTCCCCCTTTGCCTCATCATAACAACTCTCAAACACCAGCAACTGAGCATTGTCAGTGGTGTCAGTGGACTCACCCACAGCTAAGGAAATGCACTGTGCATTTTTTATTCCATCACAAAGCTGATGAATCAAATCACCAGCCAGTATTTATGTTCTTCTGGTTGCTGTGGAATCTGAGAGGGGGATTTGCTTGACCTGTTATTTCCTCTTTTTGTTTGCCTTCAACATGGTGTCCATCACTTCAGTCATGCATTCTTTTATACTGCAGTTATTATCCAGTGGAAAGTCCTTACCTACTGGCCTAGTTCAATCAAAGTGGTTACTTTTTTTTGGCTGGGCAGTGTAGTTTTAAACACCGTCTTATTTGACTTTCTCAGGACTTAAAACAGTTTTTTGGGGGCAGACCCCCTCAAAGAAAAAAATATATTTACACACGTAAGGTCATCATCTTAACAGTTGTGTATGCTCATCCGTGAGCAGAGCATCAAGTTGACATGTCTATTACAGCTGAATGCGGTGATTGCCATCTTGTTCAGCAAAACGCCTCACAAACGTATTAAGATCAACAGCTTCAGTGCGTTTTGATTCAATGCTGAGTACAGCCAAACTGACAGTCTCTTCTCTGTCAGTGTAGACCGCAAATACCTCATTCCTTCAGTGCTTGGGTCCGAATGCTTCTCGTTTTGCGCCGTCCAGTTCAAATGAAATCGCCGCCAATCATATGTCCACGCTCGCGCCAGGACCGGGGGAGGGGTTACATGACGTGCATCTTGTGCTGCATTCACTTGCACTCGGACATTAGAGACTTTCTCTCATAAATGTCCGATGAGCCACAACTTTTCTTTCAAAACAAAGCTGCCAACTGGGGTGGCAGCTGGGGTGGCAAGGCCTATTTTTTGGGTGTCAGTTGCCACCCCGGTAGGTGAAACTAGGCTACTAGCTACAGTACAGATGGAACTAGATGAGCTGTTAACTCTCGCTCTGAATTTTTTTTTTTTAAACTCTCGCTCTGACTTAGACAGGTTGAAAGAGACGAGACACACGTTTTTCCCACCCGCATTCCGCGAAGACCCGCCCTACTGTGCCTCTGATTCGCAGATTGTTTGGGGGGAAAAACGCTGACGGGATGCTGAATGTGATTGGACCAATGCGTTGACAAACACACACAGACAGTGGAACAGGACATGCAGAGCGCTGTTTGCAGTCTATGGACATAGCGGATCATTTTGACTTGTTGCGTTGTGGCGATGTCTCGCAGATAACACAGATAATACAGATAATACATATGAAAAGTATAATTTGCTCAGAGTCCAGAGACCGTTGTGGTTCGGTCCAGATCCGGACCGGAGTCCGGACTTTGAGGATGCCTGCTGTAGTACATATGCCGGGCCTGTAAGTGGAGCTGTACTTCTGCCACAAAATACACCAAAAGCAGCGAAGAAGACTTCTCGCGCATGCTTGGTTGCCATGGTTCTGTTTATTCTCCGTGCTGGATTTAGCAGCAGAGGTGGGGTTTCGCCGGTCAACATGTCCGTTAAAGTTGAAATCTTCCGGACAAAATTAGAAAAGTGCCGGTCAAAGGTCTTCTTTGTTATTTATTGAGCTTTAAAACAAATGAATAACGACTCTATATAATAATATAAGATTAATAGACGGAGGACGGAGCCTCTCTTTTCCTCCCCCTCTCCTGACAGCCCGTCAGTATCCGTGGTCTCATGTAGCTGGCTGATCCAGTAATGACCCGACAGTAGGGGTGTAACGGTTCACAAACATTTCGGTTCGGTACGTACCTCGGTTTTTTGGTCACGGTTCGGTTCGGTACGTTTTCGGTACAGCAGAATTTTTTTTCACAAAACATAACATATATATATTTTTTTATTATTATTATTAAACTGTGAATAATGTATTCACTCAAATAAATACAAAATATAATAAATAAACATTAAGGTGCAGCATTTCGATGAACTGAAATAATCTGTATTTGAACTGTACTAGCACCTAAGCAGCCAGTTTGACATTAGGACTTGCTTGTCATTGTATTTTCATGTTTTTTTAAAGAAAAATTAACTTGTCCACATTGCTTGCTGAAAGGGCAGATCTGCTGGCACTAACAATGTCTCCTGTGTGGAGAAAACCCTCTCTAGGGACAGAGGTAGCAGATACAGCCAGGTAGCGCTTTGCTAACATGGCAACATAAGGATATTTGGCGTTTGTAATAGCTTTGGCTCGGTCTGATCTTTCTGCGAGTGGTGGAGGCTTACATGCTAGTGGGAGTTGGGTTTGCACTTCAGTCTTTTTTCTTTTGGTACCGGTGATATTCATGTTCGGGTGATGCCTTTTCAAGAGTGTGCAAGTTTGATGTATTGCCAGCCGCGTAACCAATTTTAGTTGAACAATGCCGACAAACAGCGTTGGTTCGGTCCACCTGTCTTTGTCCGTCATCCTTGTACGTAACTGCGAAACCAAAATGTTCCCAAACCGGAGACTTCAATGATGCTGGAGGATTTTCGAGCTCAACTTTATCTGCGTTCGCCATTAATTTTTGACAGTTCCTCAAATTACTGACTACATATGAACGCATCCCTCTGACCAGCTCTCATACTATGCCTCTCATCCAATTAAATGACTTGCTCGCTCTATGAGGCGTTGAACCCAATGTGAGCAAATTACTCTGAATGCTGCGACGCAGCACCTGAGATTACTTCCAAAAAGTTATTCACGTTCTCAATTTTTTACGTTTAACGTTATATTCGTTCGGTACACTTCGGTACACACCTGTACCGAACCGAAGGGCCCGTACCGAATAATTTCGGTACGGGTACGTGTACCGTTACAACCCTACCCGACAGTCAAAATAAACATTTATAACTAGTTTAGGTAGTTTGAGAGGTCATTAAAATAGCTAAGGGTGATGATCTAACTTGAAGTGGGTGTTTTGCTCCACTCATTACATCTCATTACATTACAGCGGGCGGAGCTGCAGGTTATCATGCAGAGCTGCGTGTCTCCTGTTCGATTAGACTTCACTCGCGTTTATGTCCATATCGATCAAATCTAGCTGGAAGCTCCTGCTGGGTGCACTGCCCTGCGATATACCGGGACCTGGCTCGAAACACTGGGGCTATTGCGTCATCGTTAGCAGGAAATTATCGTTATAGGGCGTAATCACGGCGCCGTTTGGGCCCCCAGAGCGTGTCGTCCACAGATCTACCCACCTTGGGACCCGTTATCATTATCGTTTTCTGCGTTTCCATGTCGGCCTCGTGTGGCCGAACTGTCTATCTGATAGCGGATATGACCGCTATCGTCCTCGTGTGGCTGCAGCCTTACATTTGTTAGTGTTTCTGATAAAAAAAATTCACTGTGGAAATGAATCAAACCAAAAGGATCCATGTATTCTCTCTAGGGCTGTCAAGTAAATAAAATAAAAAAAATGTACGCCACTAATTATTTTAACGCGATTAACGCATGTGTATTTTTTGTCCTCGGCCGCCCCGTAGTTTCAGAGCGCATCGACTTTAAAATGCCATCTACAAGCTGATGCTGACAGCCCCGCTCCTGCTGCCCGCTTGCTGCAGACCACACTTCCACGCTCACCGGCAGGCACCGACTGGCCATCGGGAGGACCGGGAGGGTGTGTGTATGTTTGGCGTGAGCGAGAACGTGCACACCTTATGTGTATTGTTGTTGTTAGCATCTGGCAGGGTTCGTACGGTCATTGAAAACCTGGAAATGTCATGGAAATTCCAAATGCAAATTCCAGGCCCTGGAAACGTTATGGAAAACAATATTTTTCCCAAAGTTTTGGAACAGTCATGGAAATGTAACTAAAGTTGCGTCAAATTTTTATTTACATTTTAATCTAATCGCCGAAATAATCTGCGGTCGCGAGCTGTTATGTGCCATCATGACGCGCATGGTGTTATTTTTTAATATATGAAGCGCGAGCTGTGTGCTCGAGTCTTCCTGCCTGTCGGCTGAACTCTGCTGCTCCGGGATGAGGGTCAGCTACATTATCTACGGTGCGTTCGTTAACTGTGCGGAGTCACTGTGGCACAGACTGCACCGCTGGTTCAGGTGTTCAGAGCAGAGCGGCAGAGCGTGATGTGAACTGAAACGTTTTTCTGTCGCAATATCATTTAAGGAATCCTTGAGCTAGCTAGCTAGCATACATTGTCACTATCTGCTAACGTTAGCTTTAGCCTTCGTTTTCTATTAGTTTTTTTCATAGGCTATAAACAGAGGTGGTATAAGTATAGATATTGTGCTAGAGTAAAAGTAGAAGTACTCGGATCTTGTACTTGAGTAAAAGTAGAAGTACTCAGATCTTGTACTTGAGTAAAAGTAGAAGTACTCAGATCTTGTACTTGAGTAAAAGTAGAAGTACTAGATTGTAGGAATACTCTGTTACAGTAAAAGTCCTGCATTCAAAATGTTCCTCAAGTGAAAGTAGAAAAGTATTCTCATCAGAATATAGTGAAAGACAGTAAAAGTAGTCATTGTGCAGATTGGTCCATTTCAGAATAATATATATGATATGTTTTATAATGATTGATCATTAAAGTGTTCTCAAAGCTGGTGAAGGTGCAGCTAGTTTGAATGACTTTGTATACTGCAGGGTAGCTTGTGGATTTACTCCAGGTGGAACTAAAGTCTGATTCAACACTTGGTTAGATTTCACATCATTCATCCAGATCTGTGAAGTAACTGAAGGGATTAAATACATGTAGTGGAGGAGAAGTACACCAGGTACCTCTGAACTGTAGAGGAGAAGAAGAACAAAGTAGCAAAACATTGAAATACTTAAATAAAGTACAAGTATCTCAAAATTGTACCCAAGTATAGTACTTGAGTTTATGAATTTAGTTACTTAACACCAGATGCCATAAAGATAGAAAGACTAAGCCTTGCACAGAGGCATGAAAATACATTTTCAAAATGCTCAACAGTGCTGCCAAAATGATAAACTGACTGCTACACAATTAAAATAAATGCTTTTATATATTTCTATTAGATGTGACTCTTTGGCGTTTCTGTTACCTGCTTTTGGTCATGGAAAATGAGGTAAAGGTCATTGAGAAGTCATGGAAAAGTCATTGGTGAAAAAGTGTATGAACCCTAATCTGGTGCTAGCTAGCTGCGCTAACGGATATAAGGAGCTGTTTAAATGAAAACAGAGGAGCGACATTTCACCACAACTGCGCCGAGCACTTGACTTTATGCAGGAAGCCAGACAGTGGGACATTGTACGAAAAGTCAGCACACTCAGCACGGATAGTGCGCAACATGATTGCAGCGTCCAGGCAGCTCCCGTTCGAGCATATGCCTTGAGTTGCACATAGCTCCAACGATCACACACACACACACACACACACACACACACACACACACACACACACACACACACACACACACACACACACACACACACACACACACACACACGAGAGAGGTTCCAGGTTGAATTGAGGCGAATATTTTTAATGTTCAGAGGTTGTTGTGTTTAATATTCATGAGAATATTTGTCATTGTTCAAATGATAATAAACATTAGCATAAAGCATATTTGTCCACTCATATGTTGATAAGAGTATTAAAAACTTGAAAAATATCCCTCTAAGGTACATTTAGAACAGATAGAACATTTGCGATTAATTTGCGATTAACTATGGACAATCATGCGATTTAAATATTTTAATCGACTGACAGCCCTAATTCCCTCACCTCCTAATTTCACCTGAATATCATAGCTATCATACTTATGTCAATGATGATCCAGGATGCCATTGGGGAAAAAGTAACATTGCAGTCAAAATGATGTTGCTCTATAATGACCTTGTTGCTAATCTGTGTGCTGTAACTGTCTGCGCTGTTGGCTGATGATGATTTTCCTCTGCAGGACCTCATGACATTTACCACCAAGGCGGAGGAAGATCGCTTGCTGGCCTCCAGTCGACAGGTACACACACCTGAGCACAAACATCAAAGGGTGCACATTATTTGACTCCTTAGCATGTTACATGTTTAGCTCTTTTTTCTGAACTCAGTTCCTCATGCTTGACAGTCTGAAGATCACAAAACTTAAGCAATGAAATCTGAGAGCTGGACTCATGCCTGTTCAGGCGTTCCTTCAAGTCTTCTTCAAAGAGGAAGAGTGAGAAGCCAGATCATTCTTTTACCTAAAGTTACAGGCTCTGTCCAATAAATGAGCTATCTGTGGGTCAATATAGACTTTTTCTAAACTGTGTGTGGCCACACCCTCATGCCACACCCACACACTAATCAAAGTTGTTTTTTTTGTACTGTAAGGGAGCCTGGAGGGACACCTGAGAGACACCTCCAGATCACTGAGGGATCTTTTAGATATTAAAGGGAACCTTTTATGCAAAATGCACTTTTTGATGTCTTTTATACATAAATATGTGTCCCCGGTGCGTAAGGAGACTTAAAATAAAATACAACCCTCTCTCTTTTCCTCCTTACCCACATCTCTAAAAACGGAGGTACAACGGAACTGATCCAGATTTGTTGAGGTCATGACAACACGCAGCCATTATATGAGGGTGGGACAAGTCCCCCCCACCTTTTCAAATGATTAGTTTAGACCCCCCCACTTCTACCGTGTGGAAAGTCCGTGAATCGGTCTATCCACTCGCCGCACTTTGTAGAGCGCTGTGTCAGTGCTTCACTATCAAATCCATTCCACTTGCTTATTGAGAGAATGCCCAAATCAATGAAACTCCGTCCCATGTTTTCACTGCTACTTTGTACCAAGGCAGATTCTCAGAGCCGTACAGATGAGCCGTACACATGCTGCGTTTTTTGTGTAGCTGTGTCTTTAGTTGTAAAATGATGCGCGCCACAGTTTCCACGCTGCGAGGCTCCTGTAAGGCGCTGTTATTAAAGAGGTGGAGGGAGAGTCCTCTCTGATAACTACAGCTCAGTGAGTTAAAGGACTCTTGAGTGTTTCGATTAACTTTAGATGAAGTAGTGGGTCTCAAACGGTTTGGTAATCATTTATGTAAACAAGTATTTCCAAGGCACACTTTTATATGATCGTTATAAAAAACAAGAGAATAACAGGTATGAAATAATTCCAACTCATACTATAGGACAGTAACACAAGAATACAGTTGAAATGGGGAGTGATTTGTAAAATATGCATAAAGAAAAAGTAAATCTGTTCTGTTTCATCTGGGTGTTGAGAGAGGTATCCATAGATTTAGTCCCTAATGTTGCTCTCAAAGTGCAGCAGATTGATGCTTTTAACTTCAACATTTAAAATATCTTCTTCCCGGCCCCCCCTAGAGGAGGTGAGGTCCACCTTCTGCCCACACCCCCTGTCAAATTGTCCCACCCACATTGAGGATGCTTCCTACGCCCATGCATGACAACATTACTAAGATGTGGGCTGGCTTTACGTTGAATTCCTGGCAACGTTCCGCCCCAACCTATCGTCCCCTATCAGAAACGTTGCTGTATCAGAAACAATGCTCGACGTGTTTGGAAGTAATATGGTCTGTGTTTACATTAGCAAGCATCGCTAACACTCAGAGCTAACTCTGTACTGGAGAGAGTATGTGTAAAGAAGCCGTATATAAAAGGTAGTGTCCTTGTGGTAAACCAGTGAGAGAGAAAGCATTTGAGCTCCATACTGTTTCAGAAATAATCCTTGATGTGGTTTGGAACATAATATGGCGTTTCATCACGGCAGCGTTTAGCTGAGTTCTGCTGGGAGACAGCCTTCTCTTCACAGAGCTAACTGTTTGCATGGGGACGCTCCCAAGGGGCGTGGCCAGCAGCAGCTCCCAAGGGGCGTGGCCACAGCAGCTTGGTTACATTTAAAGGGCCAGACCTAGAATCAGCACTTTAGTAACAGGGCTGAAATAGAGGTGTATGAGCAGAGTTGGTTAACGCGTTACTGTAATAATATTACTTTTGTCGGTAACCGCGTAGTGTAACGCAGTAATCCCACTACAGTTACTAACATTGCCCGACACGCGTTACTTTTATAAAATCAGTAATCACACTACAGTTAGCCTACTAACATAAAGAATGACTAGATTCTCCCTTTGACAGACAAGAGGGATTTCCGAGGGGTGGAGGTATGCCCATTACTTTGAGTTGGTCCGAAGAATAGACAGGAATGTGACGGTGAGGTGCAAACTGTGTCCAGGCCAGAAGCTGTTATCCACTGCTGTAAACACCACGTCAAACCTCAACAAGCACCTGCAAAGACAACATGCTAACGTGAAGCTAATAGCTAAGGAGGACCTCCGAATCCAGAGTGAGGATGTCGAGTAAAGTAACGAGTACTTTAGGTGCACCGCATTTGCGCTTCAGATGAGGCTCCCTCCGCAAAATGAAGCACCCTCCACAGTCTGCGTGATCTGCCTGTAGGGAGGGTGGCCCTGCGAGTAAAGTAACGCGTTTGTAATATATTACTTTTTTTGAGTAACGACCCCATCTCTGGGTATGAGGCATGCTACAAAGGGTGATCTGTTTGGTACTTTGAGCAAAACACTTCAGAGACATGTTTTGTATAGATATAGCCCTATAATGTAGTGTTCAAATAAAGCACAATAGGTGAGCTTTAATACCAACATTTTCTGTCTTCTAGCTTGTGGTGGATGACAGTGTTGCCATGACGCCCTTCTACCTGTTGCTGGGGAAACATCGCCAACAGGAGACTGAAGACGCAGTGAGCAGCAGCCTGTCCTCTGACACTGTGCCTCAGAGCTCTGCTGCCATCAAACAGGTCTGTAGTTCAGCGCCGTGTGTCCACTCAGTGTCCTGCAACTTGACCTTCTCTGATTGCAGGTCTTTGTTTTCTTGAAGTGCACTAAAGAGAGCTTTCTTTGTTTTCAGCTGCTGCAGACCCCGGCTCACGTCATGCCCTCCACCTCTTACCTCTGCTCCATGTTTGTGCAGTCTCTGCTCATCTCCGTCACAGACACCAGGTCAGAGATCCACTTAAATATTCCTAAATAATGAATAACAACTGAATCACTGAATGATTATTTGGGTATTTTTAGGATGTTAATATTGATTGAAGGTAAATATGAGTAAAGAGGATTTGTTTTTCACTAACCTCAGCACTGTGGATCTAATGTCAGCATGAGTTGACAAAACGCTGCTTGAATTCATGCTTGGCATGATTCAGCAACTCAAGGATCTTTCTAAAATGTTGTACTTGGGCAAATGTGGACTCTTGTTCATCTCTGAAAATATGTAGAGTCATGTTAACGTTTCATTTGTTTCCATTTGTGAACTCTTGGTCCCAGGGAGGAAAATAAACATGCAGAGGAGAAAATGGATAGCGAGAGAGAGGAAGAGGATTCAGAGGAGGAAATGGAACCCAGCAACCCGCGACCACAACAGGCCTCAGAGGCCTGTTCTCTGACCAAAGCCCAGCTCAGGGAGCTGAGGAGGGTCAGGAAACAGGACCACAGCTGGAGTGCAGGCTTCCTGTAATGAACACGAGCCTGCACAGAGACACTCACACAGACACGCTGCCTGTAGAAAGTTGTATTGTTACTCCATTAAATCAGAATGCATCTCCCCTGGTAGGGAACAAAACCGAAATATCTGATTGCATAAGTATTCACTCGTTTAGAAGCATTAACAGGTTCTGTTCAACAGGTTTTTGGTTTCATATTTGTATTAAGAAAACATTAGTTTAACAAAATGAATCACAGTCAATAACTAGGTAATAACACAAATACAATAATGTGAGATGGAAAAGAGGATCATGTGTGAACAGCAGTTTCTCCAATGAACTGTGGACTCTGCCTCTCAGAATGTTGACAGCGGTGCAGCTTTGACTGTTGGACTGTCGCTGTAAAGGGTTGAATACTTATGTAATTATTTATTTATAACTTTTTTTTTCTACTTTCACTGGGATGTTTTTTGTTGTGGGTTTTGTAAACATATCATGTCCACTGTGATTCTTTGACAAAATCAGAGAAAGGGCAAGGTAATGACTTTCTATTAGCACGGTTTGTATAAATGTAATAAAAAGATGCATTCATAAAGCTTTCTGCCTCGTCCATGACTTTCTAAACGAGAGCCAGAGTCCAAACTCGCAGCCTTTTTCCACCGTCATGTATGTGATGTAATTCAGAAGGAAGGTTGCTCTTTAATGACAATTCACAGCCTGTTTTATAAGTTAGCTGTGACACACAGTCGGACTGCTGCTCTCAAAAACAATTAGGATCAGGTATTGACGTTAAATGAATTTAATTAAAAAAAACAATGCATAATTATTACATATTGTTTGAATTGAGGCCCTGAAATTCATTCCATGGTATTTCATATTGCAGCTTCTGTTGGGTTCTTGGAAATCTTCCACATAAGCTATTGGTGCTGTAAAGTCAGGGCGGACTCTTGAGTAACATCTTAAAGTCCTGAGTAAGCTGTCTCTGAGGAGAAGGTCACGTTTAGTGTCCATGATTGGATAAGAACGCGCACTTTCATCTCGGCATGTTTCAGTTCCTCTGTATCAGGCGCTCCGACACTAAGCCTCCCACCACGAGGACGGATCCATCATGCCCTGTCACCATCTCTACGTTTGACAAGCTTTGAGCTTTAGTGGTCAAACTAGGTCACTTTATATGCTTATCAAGTCCTAAAATGTTCATCTGTCACTTTTATTAACTTGAGTTTATTGACCTATCTAATTTGTCATGGTGCACTTTACTTCTCCTGAAATGTGCCTTAGGGTGAAAAAGAGAAACCTAATAACCAAACCCTGCAACTTCTTTATTCACGACCTACTCACATGTTCCACTGAGCAAGGCACCACACTTAGCAACAGATCAACTGCAATATGAATAAATAACAGATTATCCCAGGTTCTGGGATTAAAGCTAGAGTTTCTGTGGCAGTTTTTTTAATTGGCTCCACCTTATTCCTATACTAGTATCAGCCAACGTAGCCTGAAAGGAGCGGCCACATGCTGACTGTCTTGTTTTTTTACATTTATTATAAACTCATACATATTTTTCTGTCTCCAAGACCCAACTGACACGACTCAAGAGACATCCTTCCCTTGAAGCCACAAAAAAGGTTTCATATGCTGTTTCATATAGTTCTACCAACACCTTTGATATACTTTGACATGTAAAATCTGCAGGTTAGCATGGCCACTCGTGAAACAGCGGTTTCAGTGATTTACTGCACTATTTCTTGGCTGGGTGTAGTGACTTCCAGGTGTCTTGTCATGGTGAGGTAATCAGGCAACCAGACTCAGCTATCTAAACAGGGTTAACTTGTGTGTTAAATGTGCCCCAATGTGCAGTATAGCCTATGTTACATGACTGACTTGTGATGTTGAGCAATGCCTGAGCTTCTAACCCCTGACTCCCTATCAGCAATTGTGTCAGTTAAACATTATTTCTGATATCACCTTTGACATTACAGTTAAAAGCTTTTCATGGGAGCTCCGGCTTCAAAGAAACAAGTGAACACGAGGCCTTGACACAAACATGCACATGAGAATCTTCCTTCCTGTGGATGCTCATAGATCAGAGTTTACTAGAGATGTGGCACATGGAAGATATTTCCACTGTGCGCACTTGTCGAGTTCCTGTCTGTAGCCAATGGACTAGTCAGCTTTCTTTTCCCTCTCAAACATGCGGTTCTTCAAAAACCAACGGGGGCCAAAATGGCTTCTGTAAGGTGCTGAAACTGACTAACCCTGCAGTCTTTAAAAGAAAACATGCTAAGTCTACAACACAGTGCATTTCATACCTTCTGCAGATGATGCTCTTAAATCTAATCAGTCAAAGTACATTTAGAGTCTAAATGATTTCAAACAAAACAGGATATGCAAGTAAAGCAGTAAGGTGCTGCTGGACAGATCACGATATGTATTGTTCGTACAAAGTTGTATTTTCTTGAAGCTCCTACAGACATCATTCCTCATTTGCTTTGTGCTCTCGCTGTTTTTGTTCTTTAAAGGCTGTTGAAAGCTGAGATGTTTGGGTATCAAATATCTGATGCTGGGACATTTAAGACTCAAACAGACTATTATTTTGATGAGCTGCTGGACTGATTAGCAGTGCTTTGGTATTTGGTGTTCCATCAGTGGTAGAAACTCCGGATAGGACCATCCCAAAATGCTCACGGTTCAGATATACACACAGACATGAACATGAACACAACATGCTGAGTCTTCTGACTCTTAAAAGCACTGTTTGTCTTTCAGGAAGTCCAGATCATCCAGCTCAGCTTAGTCGGGCCCCTGGAAGAAAGGCATTCTGGGGAAGAATTAGCAGTTAACTCTGCTGTGGTATGTGACCTCACTCTCACATACACACCCTCTCTCTCTCTCTCTCTCACTCACTCACTCACTCACTCTCACACACACACACACACACACACACACACACACACACACACACACACACAGAGTTGTGAAGGTTTTCTTTATTTAGGAGATCTGATGCATTACAAGCAGTACCAACGACCTTGGAGTGCGATCATTACATAAATGATTTCTTACTGATTTCACGCTATTCTATTCAACTACAATAACACTGAAATACTGTATATATAAAAAAGAGAAATATATGTATATAATCACATTAAAGCAGTATTTTACAGATGCATTCAAATGAAAGAAAGTAAATGCTTTATGCACACATTTGATAAATCTTTTAAAAAAAAATCTTGCCGTGGTGTATAAAAACATGTAAAAAAAGGTCAGCATTTCCAGACAACAGTAAACACAATATATATATATATATATATATATATATATATATATATATTTAGCATTTTCTAATGTATATTTATATTGACTGACCAATATAGTTATTTACATAAAAACTTGAGAACAATGTCAATGTGAGATATTCCTGAATCAGCCGAAGCAAGAGCTGTTTTTATAGAGCTGGGTTCCATGCACCTGCAGACGCCCTGACTCAGCATCTGCAGCTGAAGAGGCCTTCTGTTCTCCTGCTCGCTGCCTCTGGTTCCAACACCAATATTTCTCCACATCATTACCCAAATCCTGCCTAGATTTTTCACTGGTAGGGTGCGGCTGGTCTGGAAGAAGCCACTCGTGTGCGTTTAACAGCTGTCAAGGCTCATTTACAATAAGGCAGCGGGAATCAGAGGTGGAGAGGAACTAGTGTCAGCTACATTAGTTAACATCAAGTGAGCTCAGGTCAATTCACTTATTAAAGAAAAGTTGAATTCAAAAGCAGTACAGTGCTTGCAGGGCTTTTGCAGCTAAAGCCTTACTCGGCTAATGTTAGCTAATGTTGGAAAAGCTCAGCTCGATATTGCTGTCATTATGACTGTATTATCATTATCCTGTATTTGTCATAGGTATCTACTGTGGCCAACTGTTTAGTAAACGCTAACAACAGTAGTCTCTCTTGAAAGCTACTTTCCAAATGTCTGAGATTTCAGATTTTCAGTTGTTCTTTAACAAAATCACCTCACAAGAGAAGAGGTATGCAAAAAGCCACAAACTTTCAGAAGAACTACTGAAATGAATGTTCGAGTTAGGCCAAAGATGTTAACTGTCAGAACTTAAACATGAAGCTGGCAGCGATACGGCTGCAGGTCCAGCGGCTGAGCGTTGGCTGACTGGGTGGGGGTGTCTGAGGTCAACTCTGCAGTATTTCCTCAAAACGCTTTCAATGTGCCATTATTTTGACCACAGTCCCTGCACGGCGCCTGAGCAAACTGACAGAGAGACATAAGTGATTCAAAAAAGATTGTGCGGGGGTTAATGGGTTCAGGACTTCAGCCTTGTGCAAAAATATTGATCAAATGCCTGATCACGCGCTCGGTGTAATGACAGATGTCAATCACTTAAAGTGCCTGTGTAACAACAATCACGATTGAAAAATTACTCAAGAGAAAATAACAATTAAAAAGGTGACACTATTAATGTAAACTATCTGAAATGTAATTACAATCTCAGAGCAGGTTAGACATATCCAGGGTGTATGAAAGCATTCATGAGGCTACACCACTACTCTCACCTGAAGTAAAGTATGTGTTTGGAATGCTGCAGACAGAGATCTGCTTTCCCTCACTTCCTTCTATGCCACATTTTGACTTTGGTAACTGAGAGAGCTGTTGACAAGGATGCATAGGATTATTATTATTACTTATGGCACAACAAAATACTGATGACACGATAATTATAAAAAAACACCATCTGTATGTCCTGAATAAATACAGCTAACTGCATAACCCTTATACAGAAGTATTAAAGAGAGAAGATCCACAGGCTGCTCATCATACAAGAACATGGAAGCTAGGCTATCAAAGACACAGCTACAGCACCAATGAAGTCACTGAGTAGCAAAGTGTCAGACAACGAGGGGGGGGGGCCTTCTCCCCTTAGGGGTCTCATACAGATATGGCCCCCCTTTAATCTGAGAGGCAAAGTGTATGATGGCATTAGTGAAAGCTCTTCCCTGCAACACTCCTTCCTTCTGCATTCCAGCAGTTAGCACCTGTGCAGGTAGATGCAGGCTGTCAGGGGACACTGTTTTATAGTCCTCTGATTTCTTTAACAGCACCCACATTTGGGTCGCGAGCCTAGAAGTGATGGATCCCTGTTTGACAGTACATGTGTGTATCCAAGAGCAGGGACCCCCACATAATCCAAAGGTTTACTAAAGAATACTTTTCTATGACTGTTAGCTTTCTACTCACCTCCTTCTACTAATGATTAATGGCTACAGTATGCATAGCATGTTAAGTTACCTTTATATGGTTAGCATTGTGCTAGCTCCAAGCTAAGATGTTAGTTTGGTACGATGCAGCAGGGGTACGGTTAGGTTTGAGAGATATGTACCCAGGACAGAGTGTCTTCAGTGGGGTTAGACGGTGGTGGGAAGGGAGGGGCTCTCCACCTCCTCCACCTTCTGCTCCGGGGAGCAGCAGAGGAAGAGGCGGCTGCCCAGGCTCTTGAAGGCAAATCCAAAGTACATGACGTGACCCATGGCCACGAAGGACACAGAGATGATGACGAGCAGGCCGAAAGCCTCTGGGTTGGGGGCCAGAATCACCATGATGAAGTGCAGCAGGTCTAAGAGGTAATTCATGGAGTTCTGGACGCCGTTGATCACGCCGCGCTCCGACTCCATCACATTCTCCTGGATGAGCTGGGTCACTGTCAGGTCAAAAGACCACAGGCCTGCGAGAACAGAGCAACAATCAGGGCTAAAGCCTCTTTACAGCCTCACTGTCAGCACTTTAACAGCACAGTAGCTGCTGCAGCAATTACCACACACAATGATTGGAAGCAAAGGTTGCAAATATTGCTCTGACACATCTGTAGGTTTGTGTGAAGTTCCAGTTATTTATGAAGATGTTCAACCTGTGGACCAGCATGACTCACCGTTAGGAAGTCATCGTTTAGGAAACAGGAAGTGAACACTACAAAGTTTTCATGGACACTGAAATACCTACACACAATTTCCTTTCGAATAAAACCAATAATATGCACCATTTACTTCACAGATAGCGATGATCACTTGCACTTTGGGATCATAATCACTGCAATGTCACAGCATTTAGATAAGCAAGGGGAACATTTGTAAAGTTGCCTCCTTCCTGTCATATCTGGATATGAGAGATCATAGTTTATGAGAAACAGAAATCATCTATGATTTTGTAATAAAAAACACAATTGGACCTATAATGTTCACTGTTTGAGTACTATAAGTCTAATACGGAGAATCCTTCAGGTGCAAGGACACAAATAAATAAAGTCAATTATAATTCAAGTATATTTATGTTGTGGAGTAACTCTACTGATGCAAGACCATGTGCATGCACGTGTTCTTACACTACATGTTAGATAGAAACACATTCATTCAATAAATGAGCACTTTCAACCCTCCCCACCATTCTTCTATTGTTTGTTTGTGCATAGGCATTTTCAATGTACTTTATTTGTGTATTTGAAAATATATAATTGAATTTCAATGACAAATAAAAGGGGAGCTGTTATACTCACCAATTCTAGCAGCGATGACTCCAGCAAACAGAAGGCTGACAGACATGTAGGACTGCAGGGGGGGCAGCTCTTCAGCGGGGGCAGCAGTGGTGGCGTTGACTGCAGTGAGGAGGCTGGTGAGGGAGTGCTCGGCCTCAGGCAGCACCGTCTCCCCCATCAGGTGGGAGTATATGTCCTGGAAAGGCGAAACGCTGAGGTCGAGGGGGCTCCCGGGAGCAAAGACGGAGACCACACACAGTATGAGGCAGGACAGCTGGGCCGTGCCGGAGATTAAGCCTGTGCGGATAAGGCCGCACTTCTTGCGGACCCAGGTGAAGGCGACGGTGCCGCAGATGCCCGCTACAGCCGAGGCCCCCATCAGCAGGCTGAGCACGGAGCCGTTGAGGCCCTGCGTGTAGGCGTAGCCCGTGGTGATGCAGTCGAAGCCCAGCACCGTCATGTAGAGGAAGGACAGGGACATGCCGGCAAAGAAGATGTTCTGGTTGTAGTAGGCCACCCAGCCGGCCCTCAGGGTGCGCAGCGGCTCGCTCGCCTGGTAGCAACAGCTGCGCTGCTTTGGGGCCCCGGGATTCACCATGGAGGCTTCAATCATCAGCGGCTGGGAGGCCTCCTCCGGACTCTGGCCATTCTCCAGTTCTGAGGAGAGGACACAGGGAGAGCTGCAGTTATATTCAGTCTGAATCACCACACAGGACAAAACTCTCATGAGATACTTGGTACGAAAAATAAATACCAGTGCAAGGCTGCACAAACTACCTCAGAGGTAAAGACTTCCAGCTATGCATAAGGGAATACTTAAGTAGCTTACTTAAGAGCAAACACTAGGAAATTAAAGGGTTTTCCCTGAAAACATCCTAAGGTCTTTAAGATGTTTGTTTTTATAAAAAAAAAAATCTAAGACATCCTTAAAGGGGACATAATATATCATGCTATATTTGAACAATATATTGTAGGGCCATACCTATATAAAGTATATAAATATAGTTTTTTTTTCAAAATACCAAACAGATCCTGCATTTTAGCCATGCCTCATTTCGCTCCATTTGCTCTTTCCAGCGCTGTTTTTGCAGGGGGCTGATTCTGTGAGCTGCAGCTGACCACGCCCCCCTGCAGGAGAGGGGAGCGTGCTCTGAGATCAGCTGCTGGGCTGCAGCGGGGAGAAAAAGAGATCTCCGTCCTCTGTGTTTTATTCTTATAGAAGTAAGAAGAGAAGTAACGGGGCAGAAACCCTCCTTTTTACGCAGCGGTCCAGACATAGACATCAAACGGCGACACATATTCAGTGTGCAGTTACTTTGGCATTAGGGCAGGGATATCTAGATACTTTCCAAGGTTTGACATAATGAATTGTGCTACTTTTAAAGCAAGCAACGATGTTTTCAAATCTGTAATCAAAAAGCTCCTCAAAAACGCTATTGAAGCAGTTCCTGCCGTTGTTACGTCAGTTCAAACGGTAACAACGGACTACTTTTCTTAGCGGATGCATGTCAATTTAAATCAATACATAAAACTATTTTTTAAATCAATAAAATCATTTTCTAAATCCATAAAAGCATTTAAATTCATATTGGGAGTCATGTCGTTACTTTGTGGAGAATGTGGCCATGTAATAAGCGGGATAATGTGCACATTGCATAATGTGCCTTCATGCCGATCTAGATCCCTCCGCTTGGCGTCGGGCTCCTGATCAGCCTGTCTGTGTTCTTTTCCCCATAATGACCGCGTCGCTGCACATTATCCCTTATATGATTATATAGAGTCATTATTCATTTGTTTTAAAGCAGGAGGAGCAAAAGCTTGCCTCTGGGAGGGAGAAAAAGAGCCACAGCGGAGAATAAACAGAAGGGCAACCATGGCAACCATGCAAGGGAAGTCTTCTTCGCTGCTTTTGTGGCAGACTACAGCGCCACTTACAGGCCTGGCATATGTACTACAGCGTCTTCAGCGCTTTCGAGTGGCAATGGCCGGCCGTGGCCCAACCTCTCATTCCCCTGATAGGTGGAGAATTGACCACTAAGCGGAGCACCACTTTTGTGATGTAAAATAATTCAAATCTGGATCAGTCTGTATCAGATCTGTTGCAGCCCCTTTTTTTTATAGATTTGGGTATGGAGGAAAAGAGAGAGGGTTGTGTTTTCTGACACTTGGTGAGTTCCCTGGAACACCGGGGACACATATTCATGTATAAAAGACGTACAAGAGTGCATTTTGCATGATAGGTCCCCTTTAAATAAAATTCAAGGGCTACCTTAGCCTAATCGGTTTTACAATGGTTCAAATCCCACACAAGGTTCCTGCTGCTACCTTTGGGGGGACTGAGCGGTTTGAGCTCCTGCTGCTGCTCTTTCTGTCCGCCCTTCATGGACAATGCCGGCGTCTTCTGGTAGACCGTCCACAGCAGCGCGTACTCCACACACATGGAGCACAGGTTCCAGCCTGCGATGAAGCCGCAGCCAATGAAAGGAGAGCCGAAGGCCATTATCTGACCCACCAGCATGGGGGCCAGGATGTTGGTCAGCTGGTCGATAATCCGTACGGTGGCATTCATGTCTGTTTAGTACAAGAGTGGAAGAGAGTTTCCATACAGCTGATTTAACACATATGAAGTTTGACATTCATATAACAGCAGGTTTGATTGATGGTCATAGCTCATCAGGTTCATGGAGGTTATTCAAATCTTTGAAATAGTTTATAACAATCAGGGGGAAACTGCAGGGACATAAAGGGTAAAACAGAGTGAGCCAATATCTGGGGTTCAAAGTCTGCTCACTAAAGTCATCTGATAACAGGTCACATGAGGTTGGGTGATAAGCCGGCAGAAACACTGACCTGCCAGCGTGCTGCTGTCCTGCCCCGCCACCACCACCACCCAGTCCCTCTGGATGGTGATGGCCGTGGCCGTGCTGGCTAGGTTTGCAATGTTGGCGACGCTGATCACCAGAATGTAGCACGTGGTCTAAAAAGAAAAAGAGGATATTTTTATGTTTTCTATTACATTTGATTAATATCTGGTCAGTATGAAACAAAAGACGAATACATATCATTAATATATACAGCATGGTCTATATTGCTAATACCACAAACTATTAAAAACACATGAAAGCTGCACTGGATTCTTTCATTACCATGAAAACACTCTGTAGTTCTCCTTTTGACTCAATTCCACACACACTCTCCTGCTGTCTAAGTATACTCATTAATGCTGTACTTCTTGAGCGCTTTGGTCTGTGACCCCTTCAAATATCCTTTGGACAATGTTAAAGATTTGACATGAATTGAAATGAGTTGAACCAAAACGGAGGGATGGATTGAAAGGCTCCAGTATATCACAAGCAAAAGATCTTGGGACGCCTCAGATTCACCCCACCCTCGAGGTGGGGTGAATCTGCACAGTGTATTAATCCACTGCTAAATATAGTCCCGAACAAAAGTGGTATTTACTCCTGTGAAAGTAACCTACATTTTGGAGGTGTGTTATGTAAGATTGAACCTTTTTATTTAAATGAAATCAAGTAAAGAAGATACGTTATACAAATCCCACAAACTATTATCACATGTCATCTGTAATGTAAAGAGGAATCAATAACTATCTATATAACCCACTGTGAACAATAGCTGCTGATAAAAAAGGAGCACAACAGCTAATTGAATTTGACCTCCACCGCTGCAGTAATAAAGAAACTGTGGGACAACATTGTGAGGAAGCTCAGAAACAGCAGAAATGTTTCAACAGGCCGGGCCACATTTCTCCCTCTGTCATGTGACGGGTCTTGAAGAACCTGCTGACTACACACAGCCTTCAACTGCACACTCAATCTCCTGTTTCACACTCCTCCACACAGACACATCCCTCTGAACACTCTCACATGGCTGAAATCCCTTCTTTCTCTGGGAAGTCCTACAAATGCAGAGGGCCACACTGAAGACATTCTGGGCAACAGAAAGGCGTTTGTTTCGACCTGACACCGCGACGGCTCTGCAGAGTCCGGTCTTTGTTTGGAGGCAGATCTCAGGACACATAGTTCAACAAGTGTAAACAAGACACTCCTTATCCACACACACACACACACACACACACACACACACACACACACACACACACACACACACACACACACACACACACACACACTTCAGAAGAAGAACCGGTGTGGGATGACCTCCCAGGCATCACATGTCTGTAACATTACCTCATTATTTAGGATTCTTTACAAAGCTCTGTTTTTGGTTAAAAAAAGTTCAGGTTCAGCAATAATTGAATAAAATGAGAATGTTTTTACATTTCCAACATTGCTTTTACATTCAGTTTATTTATTTGCAATACTGTCAATTATACCTTTGAATTACAGTTTAAAATAATGACTACAAAGTTTGTTTAGTGTTTAGACTGATGACATGGATGTTCTGGGACCACTACGGTTACATTAGTTTAATGAATGATTTGGTTCGTGTTTTAGATGAATATGTTTTTTTGTCTAATATATGAACACTTTCTAATTCTAGAAGTGTTAGTAATATCTATTGTATTTAGTTACTATTCAGTGTCTGGGACCCTATACTAAAGCTTCAGATCGTTTTTTGCGTGCCCCATTTCACACATCTCCATTATGTCAACAATTTTACTTTTAAACTGTTTGTGAATGAAATGAATTCAATACAAGCAATATTTAAGACGTAGAAATTAATTTGCTTTTTTGTGCTTGAATTTCCCTTTTTTAAGTACATTCATCAGATTTGTATTTCCAACGACTGCTACGCTGTAATTGTTGAACTGCAAGAGTATCCTGTACACCCTGATCTAAGTTCTTTGATACAGCAATAACAACAGTAATTAAAAGGACGACTTTTTGAGTGGAACAGTTAAAGGTCTTCTGGAAGTTACCTACAATCATTTGCTCATCTGTCAAAGCTCTTCAGGTGCTCATAAAATCACATGGAGCCATATCAGTAAAAGAAAGCAACTTTCAATCCCAGGGTCAGAGTGTTGTACTTGAGGTAAAAAGGTTCAAAAAGCTTTCGGTTGAAACCCCGATCAGATGTGATTGAAACAGTGTGAGTGTTAGAAACAGCACAGGCGGGACCTTACCAGAATCCATCCATTGTAAAGCTCCACAAGCTGTTCTTTGAACTGGAAAACAACCATGAGGAGGATCCCACACACGATAACACAACTGTTCTGGACGAGCAGCGAAGTCTGGGCCACTGTGGAAACACCACGACGGACATTAGGGACAGAAACCTGATCGAAGACAACAGATGTCTGTCTGATAGTTCATTAGAGCGCTTCAGCAAGATGCTTGGCTGCATTTCACACTCCCTTATCTGATCTAATAATGGCACATTCCTCTGAATAAACATGGCACACGAGGTGCATTTAACTGTGAACATGAGGAAAGGGGGATAATAGCTCATGTTCACACTGTATACAACACTGTAATGCCAGTCCCTTTGAAAGTGCTGTATCAGGATAAGATCTGAAAAGACTTTTGGCATGTTTATCCTGCACCCTTATGTTACAACACCCCCTACATCTTCCCTTTGATTTGTGCTGTCTTACCTTTAAGTCTGGGATTTTTGTCAACCCAGTCCCCAATGATGGCCCCCAGCAGCAGCACGGAGCCGGCCACCACCAGCCCGTACACGGCCGTGAGCAGCAGGCTGTTCCCGTACAGCTCCACCAGGAACACCGCCACGGCAAAGTTCCACATTCGGTCCCCCTGGAAAGTTAGATCCTGGTTATTTTAAGTCGATGCTGATGTTTAATAAGACATGCAGGTTAGGGCTGATAATAATCCTCTCTGTTTTCAACAGCCTCTTCACCTTCCTGTGCAGCGATTTGTATTGTGTGCTGAGCGAAACAGGGAAAACATGTCATTTTGTAATGACAGGTATAATGGCACAATGCAACAATTACACATTCATGTTGGACACAGAAACGCTACATATGTACCCTGTCATCATGAGAATACAGATATGATGGAGTGTCTTTTAAATAGACAATAATGTGATGTGAATTGTCATATTGTGTGTCTCTCTTACCCATGTAGACAGGGCATGTCCCATGTAAATAAGGAATTTGGCTGAAGTGAAGAAGTCCCGGACAGACTCTGAGGATAGAATAAAGACGTTATCCATCCTCTCCAGGCATGTAAGGTGTGAGGGAATATGTTGTCATAAAGAGTGCAATGAAACATAACCTACCACAGCATGTCTTCTTGGGTCCAGAGTTATCCATGGTAAAGCTGTGTGAATGGCAGAAATGACCGAGTGAATATCTCTGTTTACGCTGTCTTCTCTTTGTGATTTGTGGTGGACCGCGGCTCCAGCTGGGTCTCACTATCAGCGACAAAAAGACACCGCGTTTCTCCCTTTTCCTCCTTTCCAAACTTAGCTATCACTGTAGCTGAAGTCGGAAATAAATAGTTGTATAGGATAAAAGGTCGGTTGATCGCTCGAGCACACGATTAACAGCTGAAGAGCCCCGCTCCGCCGACGGTTAGTTGAGTTGTGCTCTCTCTGTTTACCTCCCGCTTATACTCACGCGACATTTTGGGGGGCGGGAGCTCAAGTGAGAAAAAGGGCACTTCCCATAATCATTTATAGAAAAATGTTTTAAAACAAAAAGTGAAATATAGTTGCACTTCTCTGACTTACTGACCAATTTATTTGAATACCTTCACACTCACGCAATTGTTTAATACTCAACAGAATTCTACAAAATAATCAGCTAACACAGACGGTCTTCTTTATTATTCACTATACGCACAAGAGCAGACAACAAAATAGTGAAATAATAGTTATTAAATGAGCAGCCAACAATCAAAATTATGAAGTTACTGTTTATAAAAAGATCGTTTTTTCATGTAGGCTACTTGTAAATGTTGTTATTTTGGTCTATTTTACTTCCCTGTTTTCTTTCACTCAAATGGAAAGAAAACTTCCAAAAACACAAATAAATGGTGTACGTTTTACTACCATGTCTGAATTCATCTATAGATTTAAAGTTAATCTGCATATTTAAACATAACATTTCAGGGGAAAATACTGACTTAAAGTAAGTAACTATCTGGGGAAGTTGTGAGGTGATGTGTTTTTTTGTTTTATCCTTTGTAACTGCATGCTGCAATTTTAATTAGGCCTAGTTAACGCCTAATTTGCATATCAATGTGGTGATTGTGATGACATTATTAGATACTGTAGTGATCACTAATTAACTAGTTAACATAATTCATTCATGAAACTACAGGTTGGGGACGCACGGACATACTGTATATGTTGTTGACTGTACTTATTGTGTGCCCTCCTTGCTTCTTCCCCTTCTCTTCCAGGACTGCAATCGGACACCAGGGCCGCCTTAATGCACGGGCTGACCTGGGCTGAAGCCCAGGGGCCTACGGAGATCGGGGGCCTATCATGAGCCAATACATTTAAAAGAATAAAAACAAATTCAAATATATATTTTTTTTTCAGGTGTTTTATTTTTATTTTAAATAAACAAAGTCTTGGCTTTCAGAATATGAAACTTTTATTTCCAAAATCACACAATAAATACATTTTTGAAGCTTGTAAAGGGAAGATGACAGCTCTCACTCGCTACCCTGCACTTCCAAAGCGCTGCCCCCCCTCCCTCCGGCTGAAATTATGAATGTAAGGTGTATAGTAATCATAGATATAACACGGCAGGGTCCGTTACAGTTTGTTTTCATCTGATTTCAAATAAACAAAGTCTTGGCTTTCAGAATATTAAACTTGTTTCGGCAAATTCAGATGATAAATACAACTTTGAAGCTTGTAACGGCATAATTACAAGCGGAGAACGGAGTAACTTGACGTCACAGCAGGCACAACAACAGCCGGTGTTTCTCGTGAGTGTTTTCCCCGGGAAACAAACACAATACACAAAAACACAAAATTCCACAAACACACACACGTATAAACACACACACACTCGTGAGCTTCCCCCAGACCAGTAATCCAAACGCAAATATCTTCCCTCCGTAGTATTTTGATCATTTGCTCCGCTAATCAATCAGATCGATGGATTCCAGAGATTTTTCTCAAAAATTATGACTCCGTAACAGTCAGTGGGCGCCACTTAACAGCCAATCAGAATGAGAATATGCTTCACATGTGATTTATTCAAATTGCGAGTGATTGAGTGACAGATGAAGGTTGTTTAGGATAAAATGTCGGAGAAGAAAAAGTTTGAGAGTGGCGCTCGGAAAAGGAAATTGTTGAGGGAAAAGGAGTTTCGAGACAAGCAGCTATTACAAAACATGCCGAAGCTTACAGGTTATTTTAAACCTGTAGGCCAGGATGAGGAGGAAGGACAGATGAGTTCTGTACCGAGCGGCAGCGGTGCCGGCCGCGGGGCCTCGGAGCCAAGTAGGCCGTCTGGTTCTGATAGCGATGGAGTAGTGGGAGAGGAAAAACAGACAGGAGGGACATTATCCGTTGGAGGAGATGGAGAGGACGACGAGGACTTGCTACGTGGAGGGGAGCCAACAGCAACCGGACAAATACATGAGGGAGGCCCGATACATCACTCATCTGAAGGAGAGGACCAGGCGCAGGTAGAGCAGAGTGGAGAAGTGTGATCACAGAGCCTGCCGAGGCTATAAATGACTTTGATTTGTTGTTTAAATAGGGGGCCTACAAAACCTATCAGCCCCAGGGCCTGATGGCAGGTTAAGGCGGGCTTGCGGACAACATGTGCTTTTCTGCTGCTCAATAAAGCCAACATTGCACCTTCGATGCACCACCTCCGACTCCCTTCTCTCGGCACTACATTGGTGACCCTGACATAAGTCTCGCAGAAGTTTCCGAGACTGGACCGAACATGGCGAGAAACGCCGTTTTTCGCAAACTGCCGGAGACTTTTGGAGACGTCCGTGGCTGCCTCGTGCACACGGACTGAGGCTCGGTGCGCCCTCCGCGGAATGGCCGAGGACGTCGCTCGCCATTCCCACATCGTTTCGGCACTTGGGGACAGCAAGCCTCCCGACCACATGGAGACGATACATGACCTGCAAGGTACAGAAGAGCCCGACTTCTTTTTTATGGAACTATTTCTTCGGGACATGCGGCTTTTCATCGGCGCCTGGGTGACGCACTTCTGGCCTCTTCCCTTGCCTCGGCAACTGCTTTCGGACGTCGCCCACGCCTTCGTCGGCCCGTGGGTGACGCACTTCTGGACCCTGCCTGGCCTCTCCTCTCCGCGGCTCACGGTTCGCCTCGACGGCGGCTTCGGACATCGCCCACGCTGTTATCGCCGCCTGGGTGGCGCTCTTCTGGACCCCGTCTCGCCTCTCCCCTGTCCACGGCTCCTTCCTCCCGGGGAGACTGCTCCTGCCTCCCGGGGATACCGCTCCTTCCTCCCGAGGACTTTGTGCCCGCCGCCGCTGTGCCCTCGCCTGCGGCCGGGCAGCGCTCCTCCCTGCTGAGGACCACCGGGATATTCACGCCCGTCCCCACGTCGCAGCACAGCGACCCAGCTTTCTGCGGCTGGCAGATGTTTTCTTCGTTCACCACGACGCATACCGCGGCCCCTTGCGGCCCCCTTAAGACGGCCCGTTCCGTGGCCCGGCCCTCGCCTGTGGTACCACCCTCCTCGGCCCCTGTGGTGCTTCCTCCCTGACGCGAGGATTGTGTCCATGGTTGAATTCTGGGAGGGCTTGTGTAGTGATCACTAATTAACTAGTTAACATAATTCACTCATGGAACTACAGGTTGGGGGTATTGTTTCCGCACGGACATATATGTTGTTGACTGTACTTATTGTGTGCCCTCCTGGCTTCTTCCCCTTCTCTTCCCGGACTGCAACCGGACAACATGTGCTTTTCTGCTGCTCAATAAAGCCAACTATGCACCTTCGATGCACCGCCTCCGACTCCCTTCTCTCTGCACTACAATACACATTTTACTGTATTCACTTTAAATGTCTCTCCTTAAGTACAGCACATAACCTGTATGCCCATGATAAATTGCCTTAGCTAAACCTTGAGCTAACGTATCCATTAGCTAGTAGCCTACCTTAGTTAGGCCTACTTGTTTTTGTCTTTTAGCTAATTAGTTGTAAACTCGAGGCACTGGCAGCTTAGTCAATTGTTCATCACCACTCAACTTCAAACAAGCCCAAGAAAAGCCGACATAACATGGGACTGTAAAGTGGGAGGTGCTGCTAACTACTGCCGATGTCCGCACCGCTGTGCAGGAGACGTGGAGGGAGGGAGGGAGGGAGTAGCAGTGCTTCTCAAAGTGTGGTCCGTGGACCACTGGTATTCCGTGAGGGCCCCCTAGTGGTCCGTGAATATATTGGTAAAATGTCACATTTGAAATAAATAAATACATGTAATTTTTCCGCACTCTCGCGGAAATATCTCCGCAATGGAGCGAGCTTAAAGGTGGGGTAGGTAATTTTGGAGAAACCAGCTCGAGTGCGCTAGAATTTGAAAATACACAGCCGGAAAAAATCTGCCACTTCCTTACAGAGCCCCTCCTCCAACACACACGAACGCGCACATGACCAATGAGGGCACGAGATAAGTTTGTGCACAGATGGAAGGCTGACAGTCACAAAGCACTTCAGATATTCATTGCTATCGGGATGTTAAGAGCATTCCATGGAATATAACAAGTGTATCTCGAGCCGGTTTCTCAAACGTACCTACCCCACCTTTACCACACAGCGGCGTGCGTTGAAAGCTTCACCATTCACTTTGAATGGCGTGACACTTTTCGTCAAAATGCATTGTAGGAAGCGACGCGGAGCTTTGCTGCCGTGGCTTGCTGCAAAAGTTGAGCAATGTTCAACTTTTTAAGCCTCGGCAGAAGCGTCAGCCAATCGAATCATATGCCAATACAAGCTTTAGCCAATGAAACCGCTGCTTGTGTGTCAGGGGCGGGAGATTCATGTGATTGGTTGTTGGTCGAGTTTCAGACACGGCAAGCTTCAATGCACGCCGCCGTGTGGACGGGCCGTTAAGTTTCACTTTCGATTGCATGATATAGCCCAGCGCAACACCTTCGTCACACATGTTGCCACTTGTTTGTACCATTTTCAGGTTATTTGTAATCTGTTCTAGAAAAACGATGTGATTTTGGATATTTGTGGAGTTAGGTGGTCCGCGAGTGTTTTTTTATTGGTTAAGTGGTCCTTGACCTGACCTTTTTATTTTCTATTCAATCAATATCTTTTTGGAAAGGGAAACTGTGCGCAAACAGCAGTAGATATATATTCATTTATTTAAAAAAAATAAAGAAGGGCACTTTCTCTGGAGGAAGAAAAAGGGCAGGGGCTCAAGCCCACTTTGATGTATGTGTGCACGTGCCTGGCACCCAGTGTTCTTCTTCTTTTTGTGTGTGTGGAATTATATACTTACAGAGCATACGAAAAAGGATATAGATAAATAGTCAACAGAACAGATACAACAATTGAGGAACAAGGGAATAAAGAAAGAGAAAAGTATATATAATAATAACATGGGTTTACATTATATTTGAATATTATTGCTGATGCAATAATGTGTAGCCTATTATA